CCCACTTAATAAATCAATGCAATAATAACAAATAAACCAACAGAGAATATGCTCTTTTCTCATTACAATAGCTGCCATGTTACGTAACAACTATTGGTACTATTAGTATTATTTGGAGTTCTTCATTTAAGCCCCCAGTGGCACAGTGCGAAGCCTCCCACAAAGATAATAAAACATCAAATCATCCAGGCGTCCCCTGGGCAACGTCCTTGTAGACGGCCAATTCTCTCACACCAGAAGTGACTTGCAGATTCTCAAGTCTCTCCTGACACACACACACACACACACACACACAATTAAGCGTTTTTTCTTTCTGCATTTGTTTCAAGCAATCGTTTCTTTGCTTCTCTGTGAGTTATATGTTGTGGAGCAGCTGCAGGACTTGATGTCTTCCAAGGAGAAGTGCGGGGAAAAAACAGAAAAGGAAAATGCTGCCAAGAAAATGGTGCAATGCTAAATCTCTTTCCTCCCACTGAACAAATGGAGAATGAGATCCCCTGCCCTGCTCTGAAGGGGAGGCAGAGCAACAAGCTGGTTTGTGCAACACCTACTCAGACCAGCAGTAGGGAAATTATACTGCAGATTTAATCTCATAAAGAATTGAAGCTGTTCCCAGTCACAGTTCACAAGCCATATGAGTGTGGATATAGAGATAGAAAGATAGATAACGAAAGAGAGAGAAGTACTGAAGCTGTTTCCAATCTTAGTTCACGAGGCAAATGTGTGTGTGTGTGCCTGTGCGTGTAAATAAATAAAAGCTTCTCCTCAGCTGGAGTTCATACACAAACATATACAGAAAAATCCCTGCAGCTCCACACATACATACCAAAGCCCCTTGTAGGGGAGCCGATCTGATTGACCTACTCTGGAAAAGATGCCAACAGTCCCTACAAGTGTCCTCAGGGCGGCATTAAGCAGACAGGCAGCTGTAATGTTGCTGCACTCCAAGCGCATAATAACCTCTTGCAGATGCTCAATCTCTCCCCCTTTCCCTCCTCCTCCATCACCACCACAAATATTCTGCTGGCTGCCTCCTGAAGCTAAGCTCTGGAAAGCAGCTGCAGTGACAGAAAGCACAGGCAGACACAAACAACAGGGCTGCCTGGTGGGGGGAAGGCAAGAGAGCAAGATGGGGTGACCAGGAGACAGCAAATGTCTTAAAAGGCAATAGTGAGACTTAAAATCTTTTTAAAAAACCAACCCAAACTCCTAGGAGTCGGTTCCCTGATAGTTAACATCCACCACACTGGAGTAACATTAGAAGGCTAAGTTCTGTGTGAGTGAGATTTTAGGATTTATGTATTTAGCATTCTAATGCTCTAAAGAAGAGCATGCCACATCCATCATATGCTAAGCATATGCTTTATTAGGCTGGCTGTTCTATCTCAGTCCTGGATCTAGATGCCCCCAACACCTCACTCTGCGTGCATCTACACTGTAGAATGAATGCAATTTGACACCACTTCAACCGCCATGGCTCAATGCTATTCACTCACAGGAGTTGTAGTTTTACTAGGTCTTTATACCCTTCTCTGCCAAATAGTTTTGGCGCCTCACCAAACTACAAATCCAAGGATTCCATAGGATTGAGCTATGGAAGTTAAAGTGGTGTTAAACTGCGTTAATTCTATTGTGTAGCTGTACCCTCTGAAAAGGATGGTTCCTATCTTCATCTACTTTCTATTGTCTCTCACTGGCTAAGCTTGGAGATGTTTGCATGCACGCTGTATTTCAAGAACACTGGCACACCAAATAGTGAGCAAACGAAGAACTGGGAAGGGAAAAAGTGGGCACATAGATTTGAGATGGTTGCCATTTGAAGCAAGGTAGCATGTGGCGCACCAGTGTCACAAAATGGCAGCTATCTTGTTTAGAATTTTATCTACATATTGCATTTCCCCCAATACGGCACTATTGCCTAGCAGCAAGCTTTCCACAATCCCTAGCCAAAGTGCAAGAAAATGTATCCTGTGTCCTGTAGGGAAGACTGTGCAGGAGACAAAAAGCAGGAATGGTGACACGCAAGGCAGAAACTGTCCTGCTTTCAGGTCTTTGGGTTGCCACATTGACTGGTTAGCCAGGTATTGACTGGTTAGCCAGGTATTATTATTATTATTATTAACTTTATTTATACCCCGCTAACATCTCCCAAAGGACTCGATGCGGCTTACAAAGGCCAAGGCCACAACAAAACAACAGCATAAAAAATACAACAGTAAAACTCATAAAGCAAATAATAAAACATCAAGCAAAACAATAAAACACTAAAAACATGACACTATGACGCATTTAAAACCTAAGGCCGGGCCAAATGTAATGGACAAAATTTAAAAAGTGCTGGACATGACAGGTGAAACGTAGAGGTTTTTGGAGGTAGGTGCAATGTGCAAACAATCCTAAATAAAAATATGGAACGCTTCACGAATTTGCGTGTCATTTTACCTCATTTCCTTCATGGGTCAGGCTTTAGCACTGCAGATTAACTGCCAGCTGCAGTAAATCTTGCCAATCAAAACATTGACAATTTGAAGGCTGGATGAGCTACTGGCCTTTAGCCTAGCTTCTGCCTACCTAGCAGTTCAAAAACAAATGTGAATGTCTCAACAGGCATTGAAGCTGTTCCCAGTCACAGTTCACAAGCCATACGAGTGTGGATATAGAGATAGAAAGATAAATAACGAAAGAGAGAGAAGTACTGAAGCTGTTTCCAATCTTAGTTCATGAGGCAAATGTCTGCGTTTGTGCCTGTGCGTGTAAATAAATAAAAGTTTAAAGTGGGGAGATATTTAAGGCACGCATAAGGAAATGCCAGAAAAATTCCAGCAATTCAATCAAGGGGGAAGTTTACAAACAAAGCTCTTCAGCAGGGAAAGTAGAGCGACAGCACCACCCCACGACCAAAACAGAGCACAAGCTTCCAAGATGCCAAAGATGGGAAAGCCTATATATACCTCTATCTATGTACAGTTGTCTTTCTTGCCAGTGTATAGTGACACTGAATGTTTACTGTACATGTGTTCTGTGATCCACCCTGAATCCCCTTCAGGGTGAGAAGGGTCGAATATAAATACTGCAAATAAATAAATGTCCATTTCCACACTCAGCTGGCCCAGAAGCATTTTGCCTCTGAAATCTCACAGAATGGGATGCTGCTGATCTCACATTTCCCTATTACAGACCTCTAGTGCTGCTGTGGCACCACTAAACATGGGAAATAAAACGAATACAATGGTTCCACAAAGCATTTGTGATTGAACTCTATTCCTCTTAACAATCCCATTATACCTAATTTGGTGGGCAAGTTTCCAAACGCATTTTACGATAAAGGTGAAATTCCATACATATTCACCAAGCACAATGCCATCAGTCTCTTTTAGATCAATAGGACTAACTCCTGGTTGAAGGACCACTTGCTTTTTCTACCCATCCCTCCTTTCCCATAAGTAATAATAGAACTGGCCAACATACATTTTGGTGCCTGGAATGTTAGCCCTGTTTCTGGGTACATTTGACCTACTGATTCCAAAAAGGGCATTGTTTTCCGCCTATCCATGCTAGTCCATGCAATCAAGGACATATACCATAAACCATTCACCATCTGCTTGCCCACAGAAATCATGAATACCATATCTAAGAGATTAGAGCTGATGCAGTCTATGCAATGCAGTTTTCCTTATGGGAATGGAAGGTTGAGTAGAGAAAGCAAGTGGTCCTTCAACTAGGGGAAATCTATTGGATAACCTTAGACATGGGGCACAAGACTGTTTCTACACAAGGATTTCCAAATGAACATGTCAAACTGCATTTTGCAGTGTCTTGACCGAAGAGGACCTCTGACATCATGAAACTCTTCAAAAGGTAAGCTTAGTGTTCAGTACAACAGAAATGCACTGAACACTTCAAAAATGCTGAGGATCTTCAAAAATCTCCAAAAATGCTGAGGAAGAAAAATAAAGATGCACCACCTTCTCTGAAAGTGATTCAAAAGAGAACCGAAACAATGTACCAACACATTTATAGACAAATGAGAGGCTGTTGTAGGTTTTTTGGGCTATATGGCCATGTTCTAGAAGCATTCTCTCCTGACGTTTTGTCTGCATCTATGGCAAGCATCCTCAGAGGTTGTGAGGTTTCACAACCTCTGAAGATGCTTCCCATAGATGCAGGCGAAACGTCAGGAGAGAATGCTTCTAGAACATGGCCATATAGCCCGAAAAACCTACAACAACCCAGTGATTCCAGCCATGAAAGCCTTCGACAATAAAATGAGAGGCTATTTTTGCACAGGTGTTTGCAAAGCTGCAAATGGAACAAAACATACATTTAGTGCAGTTACATTGCAAAAGACGCAAGTTCCAAAGTACCTTCCATCATGCCCTCAGTTACGTTTCGAATGCCCATAGGGGAAAAGTGACAAAGTAAAAATGCTGCAAAATATGCAATCAGAATATGGAAACAAAGATTCTTCAAACAAAAGATCTAAGAAGCAATGACACTTCAAAAGGCAAGCCTGGATCTAAACAGGAAGGCTCAAGTGTCAGGGAGAGAGACAGATGGAGACAATGAGCCGAGTTTGAAGACTGAGTGCTCTTTCGGTGTCTCTTCAGTGCCTCAGAGTCACACCGCTATAATCATAAATCTGTCATTCTAAAATGGCAGCCATTTTCTTTTTTTAAAGCTGAAGTGGAAATCTGATTTAATGTATCGCTGTGATCAAAATAAAAGGCAAATCTGTGAAATGAATTCCAGCAATCAAAGGACAAGGTGCATCACTTTAAAGGCTGAGCAGGCTGTATAAATGACAATACCACTGTTTTAACAGCTTCAGAGCAATCTTGTGAGAACTTCTGACAGTTACCTGAGCAGGTGATAAAAATGCATGGTCTGTGGAAAAGAAGGCTTCAGGGGATACCTACCTTGTCTGTTCTCCTGGGTAATGTTAGTCATGCTTCCATCTTCCGCTAAACCACGTTCCAGGTTGTCTAATATCTGCAGCAAATGTTTTGAAACAGTTTTCGTCAATTTTAATACAATTTTGAAGCAGAAACATGTGTGTTAAACCCAAGCCCACCACAAATGGTTCTTGCTGTAAACAGATATTCAAGCAGTATTCTTTCTAAAAATGCCCATTAATCTTTTTATCTGGAAATCCTATCAAGGGAGGCTAGGCTGGTACCCTGGTTTTTCACTGAGACAAAGCCTTTAAAAATCGAGACAGATTTTTGATGATCAAGCACCTGCTAAAAAGTTATGCTTATTTTTGAATTGTTTTTCAATCAAACTCTTAATTTAATTCTATTTCATAAGCTTTGTTTATTTTTAAATGTATTATTCTTTTATTGATATGCACCTTGTGTTCAAGCCTTTCAAAGAATGGGGCATAAATACAATTTATTGTAGGTTGGAGGTTGATGGAACTGTGCAGAACACATCCTGAGAGTTAAAATGCGTGATATATTTGTCACAGTCATTAAGCATGGTAGACGAACCTCCAGCATGAGGGTCTTAATCAGTGGTTCTCAACCTGTGGGTCCCCAGATGTTTTGGCCTTCAACTCCCAGAAATCCTAACAGCTGCTAAACTGGTTGGGATTTCTGGGAGTTGTAGGCCAAAACACCCACCGGTTGAGAACCACTGGTCTAAATAATCTAGTCCTAACCTGGCCCACCGAGAATCCACCGAGAATCCAGAATCCAGATACAGCTTGCAGAGGGATTGTGTGATGACTTTTGGCACCCCAAACCCCTCTCTCTTACGCACAGGAAACTCTTGCTTACTTTCCCAATTGGGAAGGCAAGCAGTACAGGGGAGAATCCTAATGGTCACAAACCACATTTCATCCTAGACCATGTTAGCATTCCAAATTGGGAACATAAACTTGGGGGTGGGGGTTGAGAGGTAGTCTTTTCCTCCAATCAGTTAACAGGGACAACAGTGGGAGTTCTCCCACACCCTTCCACTGCTTGCAATCACCATTACGATTGGGATGGGGATGCCCCAGAACAACAGGATAGAAGTTATTAGGAGGAGCAGGAGTTGATATTGGGGTGGAGAAGTGGGACTAGGCAACACTAGGAGGGAACAACCCCTCCCACCCAGCCGCAATAACACTTAACACAGAGATTCCAGACTGTGAGTTGTGACACATTAGTCTGACACCTAGGACAGTTCCCATTTTCTGGTGTGTGGTAGTAAAGGCAAACTCAAGGAAGTCTGTTCAACTTCCATCAAGCTAAGGCTCAGATGCAGATGGAAGGCCCTCCCTTCTATTTCAACTGCAACTGTTCTGGCCTGGGAAAGAGAGAACAAGGAGCAGCATCTGCTGGACTTAATCCTCTCCACCATTGCCTTTCCCCTTTCCTAGCCTGTTGTTATGTCTTGTAAAGCTGAGGGTAGGAAACTGTCAAATTAACAATTTGCAAACTGCTCTGAGATCCTTTGTGGTGGGAGAGTAGGGCATAAATATTCAAAATAAATAATGTGATTTACTAGGCCAAATGCTGTACATCTGTGACAAAAAGCTAGCAGAAGTTTGATGTGCTTATGAGCTGCTCTGGATTTTATTTTAAAAGGTTATAACGTATCTTGTAAGGTACATTTTCTAATGAGCTAGATTCAGTTTTGTGGGTCATAACTACACAGATTTGTGCCGAAGAGCTATATTCGAATCAGAGAAATACAGAACCATTATCACCTCCATGGTTATTGCTCCAGCCTCCTGGCTGTGAACACAGATTGTAGGTAAATTGGCACCATTTCATGGTGAGTGAGACAAATCTCAGTGATACACGTCTTGCCATTGTGGGAGAAAGCCTTGCCACATTGCAATGTTCAACAAAAAGCATAAAAATTATGGAAAGGTCTACAGACACCTTTCCATAATGTTAATGTTCAGAAAGAAAAGTGGAAATAAACTTTAAAGGTCAAGTTCTGAACTAAATAAGCCTTTCACGAATACACGGGGCTGTTGTTTTAAAGCACACCAGAGCATAATATTTTCACACCTTAATATTTGCCCAAACATTTCATTCCTATAAGAGTTTGGTCAATGCAAATGAATGACCTAGTTGTAATGAAGCTCACGGGGGAGTACAGCACAAAGGAAGAGGACATGCTTTGAATACAAAGGATCCCTAACATCTTCACTAAAAAGGTCCTCAGGCAGCTTGGCCAGAAAAGGCACGTGCCTGCCATCTCGGGAAATCTGCTATCATTTGGAGGACAGAAGTCAGATGGACCAACAACCTGACTCAGTAGTGTATAAAGCAGGCCATATAAGGTTGTCAACTAATTAAAGAAATCTTAGCTAAGTGATCACATTAATTGTTTAATCAATCAAAATGAACCCAGATTTCCTTATGAAGAATAAAACAATGGTTTTAACCAGGACTCCCCAAACTAAGACCCGAGGGCCGGATACGGCCCTCCAAGGTCATTTACCTGCCCCTTGCTCAAGGTGCACCAAAGTTTTGAAAGCATATAACAACAACAATAATCCTATCTCATCAGCCAAAAGCAGCCCCACACTTCCCATTGAAATACTAATAAGTTTATATTTGTTAAAATTGTTATTCATTTTAATTATTGTATTGTTTTTATGTGTCTTTTGCACTACAAATAAGATATGTGCAGTGTGCATAGGAATTCATGTTTTTTTTCCCCAAATTATAATTCAGCCCTCCAATAGTTTGAGGGACTGTGACCTGGCCCTATGTTTAAAAAGTTTGAGGACCCCTGATTTTAACTATCAAACATCTCCACACCATGTTGTTGTTTATTTTTTCAGTCATTTTTGACTCTTCATGACCTCATGGACGAGCCCACACCAGAGCTCCCTGTCAGCCATGGCCACTCCCATCTCCTTCAAGGTCAATCCAGTCACTTCAAGGATACCATCCATCCATCTTGCCCTTGGTCGGCCCCTCTTCCCTTTTCTTCCATTTTCCCCAGCATCACTATCTTCTCCAAGCTTTCCTGTCTTCTCATTATGTGGCCAAAGAACTTCCTTTTTGCTTCTAATATCCTTCCCTCCAGTGAGGAGTCGGTTATTTTCTCCTGGAGTATGGTGGTCCGAAGCACTCTCAGAATTTTCCTCCAACACCACAGTTTAAAACTATCTTCGCTCAGCGTTCCTTATGGTCCAGCTCTCGCATCCATAGGTTACTACAGGGAATACCATTGCTTTAGCTATGTGGATCTTTGCTGCCAGTGTGATGTCTCTATTCTTAATTATTTTATTGAGATTGGTCATTGCTCTCCTCTCAAGAAGTAAACATCTTCTGATGTCATGCCTGCAGTCTGCTTCTGCAATAATCTTCATGCCTAGAAATATAAAGCCTGTCACTGCCTCCATGTTTTCTCCCTCTGTTTGCTGGTTATCAATCAGTCTGGTTGCCACAATCTTGAGGAGTTTTTTATGTTTAACTGCAGCCAGATTTTGCACTTTCTTCTTTAACCTTAGTTATAAGGCTCCTGAGTTCCTCCTCACTTTCAGCCATCTCCACACCATACTTTTTGATGATATATTTGAGTCCCAGGAGTGATCATTTTTGGAGGGCCATTGCACCTCCTCTACCATCACAAGAGGGAATACTTCTTCAAAGACTGGGTTTGCCCTCCTCAATTTGTTTTTAAAGCACCTTATTCAAAATTATAATTAAATATTAAAATGTGTTGCCTTGTTAGCCAGGACATTTATTTATTTGCCACTTAATTAGCTGACTGAACACAGAAACTCTAACTGAAATACTTATATGATGGGCAGATGTGAGGGATTCCATTTTGACAGTAAAATCTCAAAAGGTTAAGTTGATGGTTTCCTGTAGAAAGGAAGAGTATGAATGTGGATCCTTTATCTACCCAAAACGAGAGGGACAATTGGATGGAAGATCAGAATCTACCAGCTGACCTCAGGATGATTATTAGGAGATCAGAAAGGCTTTCTGACTGTCAGTAGTTCAACATTAGGAAATATAAATAAATGTGTACAAAATCTCTGCTATGGCTGGTCTTGTGTTCCAAGGATTTATACCCAAGACATCTGTTTTCATTAATTTTTACTGCATCTTTTTGGAGCTCTACTGCACAATTTAGTACCATGTTAGAATCCTAGTTATGTTACTGATCTACAAATCAGCTGCAAATTGATTTAAATATCCCACCCCAATTTACATCTCTTGATTTACAAAAAACAATCAACTTTATTCCCTTAACCTCCTTTTTCTATCTAGTTCTTCCTTCTTGCCTGGTTCTATTTTGCATTTTGCATCTGATTCTGGTTATGAACTTGAAGTTTCAGTAAAAAAAAAACCAAGGAGATTGCACAAGGTTGAAATCTGTCTATGACTGCTGATTTAAAAACTAGTCAGGCCAGTAGTGGAGGTGAAGACTACTCTTTTGTAAACAGCAAATCTCCAAAAATAATCACTGGAGGTTTAGGAGAGCCGGAATAAATGTGCAGTTTCCCTTTATCATTCTTCCCTTCAACAACCAATATATAGCCAACTGAATGCCTGCTAGACTGTTCCCTTTACCAATAACAATCTTTAAGTGGTCCCAGCTAGATTTTTGAAGCAAGATTTCAACAGAAACAAATGGGGGGAAATAAATTAATATCCACACTGTAACTTTTGTTTGCCTGAAGACAAACCCCTACCAGGCTGGCTCGCCAGGACAAAAGTATATTGATTTATGTAAGGAAGGCCAGCAGTCCAAAAGAAAAACAAAACCAGAAGATGAAAATTCTTAAGAAAAAGCAAGGAGCTCTACAGGGACTCCTGAAGAGAGGAATATGCAATTCTGATTTTCCTAGGAGGTTTGTTCTGGTAATGCCTATAGGCTACATATTTACTCCAGTGAAAGGATACACAGTTTTAAAATCCTCCTAGAAACAGAAGCACAGCACTGTATTTCATGCAATAAAAATGAATGCTATGAAAACTTTCAAAAAAACAACAACACTGAGAATACATTAAATACTATAATAATATATGCATGGATTTAAAATATAAAAAGCTTCTTTCAAACAATGGAAGTCTTGCCCAAACAGAAGGAAGCTCAAGTTGATAAGGCAAATGAAAAAAGAATTTGAAGAGAATATTGCTAAAAGCATTAAAGACATGTTTATTTTTGCTTTTGAAGACATCAGAAGCAGAAAACTGGCTAAGCATACAGTTGGACTGTTAGACATCAATGGAGTGAAGGCAGTGGTAAAAGAAAAGAAGGAGACTGCAGAGAAACTGAATGAACTATTTTGTGCATAACTTTCTTAGATGCAGGATACATTATTCTGCATTAATGTATTTATTTTCAGGGAAAGTTCCTGAAGAATCAAGTTAAATTAAGGTGATAAGAGATGAGATTTTGGAACTCACAGAAGCTAAAAGCCCAGAAGGTATCTATCCAAGAATTCTTAAATATGAAACTTCAGATTTTACGAAAAAAACCTCATCTTGCGTCATTACTCTTGTCACTTCTAAAGAGGACTGGATAGTAGCTAATGTCGTATTACTTCAAAAAAAGGGAAACCCATAAGACAACAATAAAATTATACATGAGTTAGCTTAGTGTTTGCGTTGAGCAAACAAACAGAATTTTTTTTATTAAAGAACAAATCTTATTAAAGAAGAATCAGCAGAGCTTCTTTAGATATAAGTGTTGCCTTGCTAATAAGTTGTTGGAGGTTTTTTTCATGTATCAGGACAATGGGGTGGTCCAGTAATCATTGCATAGTTGGACTTTGAAGATACTTTTGACAAAGACCTTCATCAGAGTTTTCAAAGTTAATTCAGTAATAATGATGCAAGAACACTGTGTATACTCAAGGAGCCTATGATGAGCTACAAAGAGACAAATGGCTGACAAAATGGCATGTGAATTTAAGGACAGAAAAAAGACACATTGAAACAAAAACAAATAAGGAGGAGCTGGTGGTGGGGAAAGAGACAAACTGGGGTGAATGTGCCTCTCATTTGGGCTGCTTCCCCTCCTTTTGCTTCAGGCTACCTTTCCTGCTCTGCCTTATCCAGGTTGGAGCAGGAGGGTGGGGAATGGCCTTTGGCAGCAAAATAATCATGTGGGTTGTACTTTTGTGAGACACCAGTGTTTTGTGTCAGAGAAGGCTAGAAACCTTATAAAATGACAACCTCAATAAGTGGCAGCCATGGAAATGGTGAGAGTGGCAGCCTCTTTGGGCCACCTGAAATCCTTTCCCAACCTTTTTTGTCCAGAGACCACTTTGACCAGGGTCCATTCTCCGATAAATTGGTTTTTGGTAAACTTTACATTCAGTTTAGTTATTTGGGGTGCCGATTCAGAAAATTGCACTGGATAGACCACATCGCCACTAATTTCTGATACAGAACACATGACATCTAGTAGTCGCCATCTGCTTGCCCAGAGAACACCATATTTAATAATCCAGAGCTGATGTGGCCTATCCAATTTTCTGAATCAGCACCCCAAATAACCCCAGGAACAGGCCTAAAAACGAAGACATCAAGGCGCCCCTGCTTCCAGGCACCACATGGAACGGCTCCTCTCAGGGGGAGGGAGGAGGAGAAGAAGCAGCAGTCAGGAGGCTTGTTGTCACACCTTTTGTGGGTAGTCAGCGTCTCCCTTCCCAACATCTCCATTGCCTCGGCACTATAAGAGGGTTTCGCGAGACCAGTCGCTCTAGTAGCAACGGTGTAGTAACGGTGACCATATTTTAATTCTTGGAGACCACTGGTGGGCCAAAGACCACAGCTTGGGAAAGACTGCTTTAGAGGGTGGCATGTGGCCCGCTGGCTGTATGTGTGCGAGTCTGAAATAAACCTATCTTCACAAATATAAGAAACTCATATAGCTTGAACTAGCAGTGACTAACTTGAAAGGCAGCGTTAAGAGTTGTCATGAAGAACTGAGTGAACTAACAGCTTAGTTTTCGTGTCTGTGAAAAAGGCAAATTCTATAGACTGATTATGAGAAAACACATAAAATAAAATTGCTCATGTTGATCTTGGTTTCATGTTATTGTCCTAACTCCATAACTGCTTCACTAAAGTTGAAGATATTTTTGCCATTTAAGAGTACTTTTGAGGTTAGGATCTCCGGTAAAAATAGACATTCACCACTTAATAGGTTTTCACTGAAAGAGGATTCAGTGTAACAATATGAGAGGAAAACACCCTTCTTTTAAAGATACATTTCTCTCTATTGAGCATTATTATATCATATCTACACATACTGGACGCTTAAAGGTTGCTTACATTTTTTTTCTAGCTATTCTATGTACTGTCAGCAAAGTCTACAGATGCTGAAATTCTGAGTTGACAATCTAGAGGTTTATTTTTACCTTTGTGCAGATTGTTTTCATACTGTGCAGTCTATCGAGTGACTCCTGAGGATTTCCTAGATACTGCTGAAGTTCAGCATGCAAAATTCTCATGGAAAAAGGAACCATGGAACCTGTAATGGTAATACAAAACTTCTGGATTATTATTGCTGTTGCAGTGAACAGTAGGATTGAGCCATAACTAGCAGAGAGTGTCTACAAGGTAAGAGTACTTAATTTGAAAAGTCAAATTAAGCACAAGAACTGACATATGCTTTAGTAGAAAAATAAACTACACATTTTTCGACAGCTCTTTCTTACAGCGTCTCATCCCTCTTTATCATCAGAGTTAATGAACTGTTGTGTAAGTTTTATTGCATCTACTGCTCTTTTGGACTTCTGTTATTACATTGCAGTATGGGTGTTTTTATTGTTTTAATTATATTTCCACAATTGGGGAAAAAGAGCTCCATGTGCACTGCTGCAAAACGAAACAGAGCTTAAACTTTTCTATTGTGCTCTCACAGCTGCCCATTTGCTCCATTTCCTGCCACTTGTGGTTTTGGCTCCCAAACACAACTATATTGCTGCAGTTTGCACTCTACTCCTGTTCAGCTTTTTACTCAAACCACATAGATAGATATTTACCATGGCACAAAAAATGATTTTACTAAGCCCGAGATTGTTTATTAAACAAAATTAATGATCCTATGTGCTACTGCATGGAAGGAAAGCTCTTTAGTACAGAGTATTGTGTGCAGTGGAAATCCATAACCTCATCGCATCATGTAGCACTAGTCCAAACGCCAAAGTTTTATTTTGGACTGGTGAATAAAATTGGCATCCAACCTGAACTGAAGCCATTTTCTTTAGTCTAAATCCAACTGTTAGACAAACATTTTGCATGACTTATTGTGAAGCTCACAAGTGCTCTCACCTTGGCTCTGTAAAGCATGACGTTCTTCTTTAGCACTCATCAGTTACTAACAAGGTGAAATGACCTCAAAGATGTTTTAATAAACAGTTATGTTTCTTGTAATTTTGCTAAAGGAGAAGTGGAAATCACATGGCCCTTCAAGAAACTGCAGAACTATAACTACAAGCTTTCCTCACCACATGTTATGTTGATTTGCCATTTTGGGAATTCCACTAAAGCAAAACAGGGAAGTGCCTCACAAACACACAACACATTCAAGTGCACTCTGTCAACTAGCCACAGAAAGAAAATTCTCCTTCGTGGTCTCTGTGAATCCACACATATGTAGTTTAATGCATGTGTGTGGATTTCACAGAAGACCACTCAAAGAAACACAGTAACAGGTAAGCAGCCATACTTTATTTGGGGACATTTTTGTTTACCTTTTCTCTCTCCTTCATGTCACAATTGCTTTATAAAGCACAGTATGTACCAACATTTTAGAAACTTGTTATGCATATCTATTTAAAAGGTGACAAGGCTGGAAGACAGGAAAAACTATCTCTTCAAGCAGAAGAAATACATTCAAGACCTTGTGATTGTTAGACCATCATCAATAGAGTATATATAGGTTTATACATACTAAAAGATGGATAGCATCAGTCATTGATGTTTTAAAATAGGGCCCCATTTTTTTATCGTAGCAAATTTCTATCAGAATAAAGAAGATATCAGTGACTTAATGAATGTCACATTTTTCAAAAAACCTTTACTTTCTGATTTACTATGTCGAGTGTGTGGGCATTACAGAGCAAGTAACCCATGTACAATATGGGTGTGCTAGAGGGATGATGACAGGGACTGCAGGAAATGAGGCTGCATGAGAAGTTGCCCTTTCAAAAATCATCTCTTGACTTGTTTCACCAGGAGAAGAAACTTGCTTGCTATTCCAAAAATGAAATATTTTCAGTTATTGTCATATGTCCTAGTTTAAATTACATGAAAATTAAATTAGCAAGACTAAGAATCCCACATAATTTATCCAGAATGACTAATACAATTAGGACCTTATTCCTATGACAGCTAAAAATAAAAATAAATCACCAGAAGCTTCATTATGTATTCAATCTTACTTTACAATCTTAAAATACATAACCAGCCTTTCATATCAATGCCCTTGTAGCAACATTAACTTAAACAATAAGAACACACAGATTCTGTGTGAAGAGGAGGTTATTTTCAGAATTAGTTGCCAGTGTTTGGCCGTCTTCAATTAAACTTAATAGTGCAAATCTGCTTTTAAAAGATTATATTTACATTCTATGGAAATGTTCGAGTAGTTATTTTGGCACAATGCATGATTTATTAGTGTTCACTTCGAACCTTGCTCTGATTTTTGATATTAGTCCAGGATCTGTCTTGTTTTTGCAGAGAGGATAGACCTTTTTTTTTTGTCTTCTTCTAGTTATACAGTCTATTTGACTTCTATATTGGCCATTAGATGATGTTTATATATATCTCAAGTTGCTTGAAGAATGTGTTTACAAGGAATAGATGTTGACCTTACAAAATTCAGTTAGTCACTCTCCTGCTTCATTTTGTGATCCTGTCAATTTTCCCTATAATTTTGATTATTGTCTGCTTTTCCATTTCAATCTCCTATGATTAACAACAAACCCAGTTTTGGTTTGTGACTAATTTCTTCCTGGAAATAGATCAGACACACAATTTTTATTTCAATTTCTTCTTTTTTTCTGCAGTTGGGAGCATAAAGAATTATGATTGTATTGAAGGGTTCTTCTTAAAATCCTATTGACAGGATTCTGACTTTGTATTATATCCTTTGATAGCTACAACTTTCCTCACTATTAATGTTACCCCTAATGTCTTAGATTTTCATTTCCTGAGTAAAACCCTGTGTAATTAGATGCCCCATTCCAGCCCACTTTAGCTTCCTCACTCCAAGTATTGCAATGTTTATTGTCTTCCGTGTCTTGTTTTACAATGCCTAGCTTCTCCCTATTTATGCTTCTCATATTCCAACCTTCTACCATATGTGCTGTATAGCTTTAGAATTTTCTTTCAGTTAGGATCATGTCAACAATTAAATGTCTTTTCAGCTTGAGTCCTGAAATATTATTAGCCATAGCATTCCTTGTTCTCTGCTTTCCCCCAGTAGATTGCTGAGTGCCTTCTGATATGGGTAATATCTTGTTTCATTTTGGACCGCCTCGTCGTAGGTAGAAGATCAATGATGGGACAATCATCATAGAAGTTAACCATGTCTCCTTCTGCCATTCTCAAAAAGATCATCCACCAACCCCACTACGGCTGTTTCCCAGTAGTTGTTTAGCATGCTCCCCAGCCTCCATTTTCTTGTGGAGTGAAGAATATTGAATTAGTGATTCTGTTCTTGTTAGAGCCAACTATCCATGTTTTGACTGAGTTATCCTATTGCTTGATTATTTTGGGTGGGATACTAAATGGGAGGGTTTGAAATAGATATAAAAATTAGGTAGTATCATCATTTTGAATGCCTTCAACTTAGTTGTAATGTCCCAATTCTATTTTTCCACTCATTGATTTGTTTACTTACCTTTTTCCATAATTGGTAATAGTTTATCTGAAGGATATTATTTTGGTTTTTAGGGATGTAAGCGTCTAGGTATTTTAAATTCTTTCCCTCCAGTTTCACGCCTAGCACTGCTTCCATCAGTATAGTTTCTTGCTTTACAGGACCATGCAACCTCAACACTGGGAAAATGTAGTGTCATAGTAAGCTTGAAGGTATATTCTGCATATAAATAGTTATTTCACTAAAACAAAGTAATGGATTAAGTTGTTTCACCTCCCCCTCAACTGGATTACTGAACCAGTCCAATGGCATTAGTGATTCTTAAGAACAAAGACTACCATGAAGCCTGTTGGAAAACAATGGATTGTAAAACTTCACTTATTATCAAAATTAACATTTGTGCTCTGAAATTATTTTTGCAGAGTAGATTTCAAATAGCAGACATTTCTGAAAGGTGGACTACAGAGTTTGATGCAGAATGAACAAAATATATACAACAAAACAATGTAGAAGCTCTTGGCGGGATGCAGGGATAAGTTTAGGGTTCATATATTCACTTCATTCCATAGCAGACATAATATCACAGATAAGTGACACGAAAGGAAATACACTTTGGGTGTATATGCATGTATGTGCCAATCATATATAAAGTTCTGCATGTGTTGAGTTGAAATGGATGAAGAGTGGGAATTAAAATTCTCTACACACGTTGCCTTCAGGTTTTGAGGCATCAGTCTGCAGCCAATGAGATTCCCAAGAGACCAAAACTATGGATTATGCACAGCATGGCATGTAGGCAGAAGAAAGAGTACCAGCTTAACCCTAATTAACAGAACGAGCTGCCAGACAAAGAGTTTCAAGATGCACATTGGAAGGAAAAGATGGAAAAAAAGTGAAGTATTTGGAATATCAATCAAACTTAATAGTTAAATCAGGCAACTATGAGTGACAAAGAGGCAATATATAAAAAGGGAAAGTGACAAAATCATTTCTGGAGAATAATTTAATAGTTGCATAGAAAAAAATACTATCCCAAATGTTAAGAGACGTTCTTGGAAATTCATATCATTTCTAGACTGAAACTCATATGCTGCTTCAAAATGAAATGCATTGCACTTAATTCAATGAATATTTTGAATTGATCTAAATTACACACATGAATTAAATGAAATGTATTCTGTGCCACTTCCATAACCATTATTTATTTGTATCTCGACACATTTGATTGCAAAGTGCATTTTAATTGCCTAATTCATTTAACTATTGTGAATCAAAATGAGATAAATAAATCAAGGATTTTACAGTTATGCTGGTTACACCAAAAATGAAAAGAAAATTAGCAACCATCAGCATATTATCATGCTGCACAGTAGCTAAAATATATGTACGATGTATATTTATTTTATCATTGAAATTAGCAGCTTATCAACATAGATTCAGATTTCTTTTCCCAGCATTTTTCTTAAGGCAAATTTTCCAGGTATGCTTTTTCTGTCTTTCAGCCTGTCATTATAAGAGCCCTCAAACGTGAACAAAGAAAATGTTATAGTGTTTCCCAAGCTCTGATCTAATAGATCTACTGTTTTCTGATACAGAAAAATTAGCGATATCTTGTCTCAATGTTGACCTGAATACAATTAGATCAGCGCCCTCCTTCTTGGCCTTCAGAAAGAAAGGAATGGTTGTGGGACCAAGCTTTTGGTTAGTAAGCAGTGAAAGAAATGAACAGGGATAATATGCAATTGACATTTTGAATGGCCTCGGATTATGGTTTTTGGATTATGTGATTTTAATGTTTATATTAATATGTTTTAATTCTATGTTTTAATGTCTAAATGTAGCTTATGTTTTATGGTTTAATATAGTTTAATAGTTTTATTCATAGTTATATGTTATTGTTGATTTTTGTTTTTTCACATGTATGTTTGGCATTACATTTTTGCCATGATTATGTTGGAAACCGCTTTGAGTCCACCCAGGGGTGAGAAAAGCAGTATATAAACACAGTAAATAAATAAATAAAATACATTTCAATGTCTTAATTCGTCACTGTTAAGGAACCAAACCAACTCTCCCCCCCAAAACAAACAAACAAACAAACAAGCAAACAAACAAACCCATTCTTTCAGTGTACTTACGAATTATTATTATTTTTAACTTTTCCACTAGGGACCTCTTTTGGCCCAAGAGATTTTTACTTGACCCTGGTTAGAAAGATGTATAAAATAGGTATAAAAACCCCTAAGATTTACTCATAACAAATCAGCCTTTGCTGAGGCTCGCTAAACAGGCTGATTTTCCTTTTTATGTAGTACAATTGATGCATCTTATGTAGCGTCCATTGTCAACACTGCACAACTGATTTCTGCAAAACAGCCACTAGGTGACGTTCAGAAAACTTTTACTGTTGTCAGATTTTTCGAGACCCCAACGTTGAGCTAGGAGACCCCATTTGGGATTGGGACCCACAATTCAAGAATCAGTGTTCTAGTGGCTCTTAGCTGTGGCTACATTATACCCATCATGATAAATTTAATAGTAAAAACATAAAACAAACCAGTTTACCTTTGCGTCCAGGATATACATTAGGGTAATATTCATAATATAGATCAGGCTGGTCTAGGTTTCCAAATGGTTCAAACTCCATTTCAGCGTTTTGGAAAAGACCCAGTTTCATCAGAAGAGCCAGTCTTACGAACCAAAGCTTAAGGGTAATAAAGGACAGCATTACATCACTTGTCGGCTTTTGCGCTATAAACAACCTTACTAACCTCTTAAAATATGACAACTGGAAAGGTATATTCACAGAAATTCACATGAAACTAGTTTCAGTGTAACCATTTTTGTTGAAATGTGTAATAGAAATCCAACATTCCTTTGAAAAATGTTTACAACTTCAACTATTGTTGTATTGTATTTTATGCTCTTTATTTGTCAATATAACCATAATGGCTTGTTTTCAGGGTGCATGTACACTGTGGAATTTATGCAGTTTGATATCACTTTAACTGTATTTATTTATTTATTTACTTACAGTATTTATATTTTGCCCTTCTCATCCTGAAGGGGACACAGGGCAGATCACAGAACACATATTGGCAAACATTCAATGCTGATTATACAATGACAAGAAAGACAACAGATAGAGGTATTTATAGGCTTTTCCCATTTTTTGGCATCCTTGGAGGTTGTGTTTGGTTCCGGCCCCAGGGGGTGCTGTTGTTCCATCTCTTTGCCAAACAGCTTTCTTTGTTTGTAAACTTCCTCCTTTTTCTGATCGAAAGGCCATGCCCAAAATACCTCCCCACTTTAATGTGGTTCCTATTTAACTACTCACATTTCTTTTCAAACTGCTAAGTTGGCAGAAGCTGGGCTAAAGGTCAGGCGCTCACCCTGGCCTGGGCTTCAAACTGTCAACCTTCTGGTTGCCAGAATTTATTGCACCTTGGTGATTAACTTGCTGTGCTAAAGTACTGGCTCAATGGTATGAATTCTGGGATTTATACTTTGGTGAGGCACCAGCACTTTGGCAGAGAAGTGTAGAAGTTCCTTGTAAAATGACAAATTCCACGATTCCATAGCACTGAGCAATGGTAGATTAAGTGGTGACAAACTGTATTCATTCTACACATGGCCATGTTGTTGTTCATTCGTTCAGTCTTCTCCGACTCTTCGTGACCTCATGGACCAGCCCAAGCCAGAGCTCCCTGTCGGCCGTCACCACCCCCCAGCTCCTCAAGGTCAGTCCAGTCACTTCAAGGATGCCATCCATCCATCTTGCCCTTGGTCGGCCCCTCTTCCTTTTGCCTTCCACTTTCCCCACCATAATTGTCTTCTCTAGGCTTTGCTGTCTCCTCATGATGTGGCCAAAGTACTTCAACTTTGTCTCTAGTATCCTTCCCTCCAATGAGCAGTCGGGCTTTATTTCCTGGAGGATGGACTGGTTGGATCTTCTCGCAGTCCAAGTCACTCTCAGCACTTTCCTCCAACACCACAGTTCAAAAGCATCTATCTTCCTTCGCTCAGCCTTCCCTAAGGTCCAGCTCTCACATCCGTAGGTGACTACAGGGAATACCATGGCTTTGACTAGGCGGATCTTTGTTGTCAGTCTGATGTCTCTACTCTTCACTATTTTATCGAGACTGGACATTGCTCTCCTCCCCAGAAGTAAGCGTCTTCTGATTTCCTGGCTACAGTCTGCATCTGCAGTAATCTTTGCCCCTAGAAATACAAAGTCTGTCACGGCCTCCACGGTTTCTCCTTCTATTTTCCAGTTGTCAATCATTCTTGTTGCCATAATCTTGGTTTTTTTGACGTTTAGCTGCAACCCGGCTTTTGCGCTTTCTTCTTTCACCTTGATTAGAAGGCTCCTCAGCTCCTCCTCGCTTTCGGCCATCAGTGGTGTCATCTGCATATCTGAGGTTGTTAATGTTTCTTCCAGCAATTTTTACCCCAGCCTTGCATTCGTCAAACCCTGCACATCGCATGATGTGTTCTGCATACAAGTTGAATAGGTTGGGTGAGAGTATGCACCTGCCGTACGCCTTTCCCAATCTTGAACCAGTCTGTTGTTCCATGGTCAGTTTCTACTGTTGCTACTTGGTGTCATACAGATTCCTCAGGAGAGAGACAAGGTGGCTTGGGTATGCCACCCCTAAGAACTTGCCACAATTTATTATGATCCACACAGTCCAAGGCTTTAGAATAGTCAATGAAGCAGAAGTAGATGTTTTTCTGAAACTCCCTGCCTTTCTCCATTATCCAGCGGATATTGGCAATCTGGTCTCTCGTTCCTCTGCCTTTTCTAAACCCAGCTTGAACATCTGGCAACTCTCGCTCCATGTATTGCTGGAGTCTTCCTTGCAGGATCTTGAGCATTACCTTACTGGCATGAGAAATAAGGGACACTGTACGGAAGTTTGAGCAGTCTTTCGCATTTCCCTTTTTTGGTATGGGGATATAAGTTGATTTTTTCCAGTCTGATGGCCATTCTTGTGTTTTCCATATTTGCTGGCATATGGCACCATCACCTTGACAGCATCATCTTTTAAGATTTTAAACAGTTCAGCTGGGATCCCGTCGACTCCTGCTGCCTTGTTGTTAGCAATGCTTCTTAAGGCCCATTCAACCTCACTCCTCAGGATGTCTGGTTCTAATTCATTCACCACACCGTCAAAACTATCCTCAATATTATTATCCTTCCTATACAGATCTTCTGTATAGTCTCGCCACCTTCTCTTGATCTCTTCAGCTTCTGTTAGGTCCCTGCCATCTTTGTTTCTTATCATACCAATTTTTGCCTGAAATTTACCTCCAATGTTTCTAGTTTTCTGGAAGAGGTCTCTTGTCCTTCCTATTCTGTTGTCTTCTTCCACTTCCATGCATTGCTTATTTAAAAATAGTTCCTTATCTCTTCTGGCTAACCTCTGGAATTGCGCATTTAACTGGGCATATCTCCCCTTATCCCTGTTTCCTTTTGCTTTCCTCCTTTCTTGGGCTACTTCCAGTGTCCCAGCAGACAACCATTTTGCCTTCTTGGTTTTCTTTTTCTTTGGGACGTACTTTGTTGCCGCCTCCTGAACAATGTCGCGGACTTCTGTCCATAGTTCTTCTGGGACTCTGTTTACTAAATCTAGTCCTTCAAATCTGTTCTTCACTTCCACTGTATATTCGCTAGGAATGTTAGTGAGATCATATCTAACTGGTCTGTGTATTTTCCCTGATCTCTTTAGTTTTATTCTATATTGAGCAATAAGAAGTTCGTGATTTGAGCTACAGTCAGCCCCAGGTCTTGTTTTCACCGACTGGATGGATGTCCGCCACCTTTGGCTGCAAAGGATGTAGTCAATCTGATTTCGGTGTTGACCATCTGGTGAGGTCCATGTAAAGCCGTCTTTTAGGTTGTTGGAAGAGAGTATTCGTTATACACAGTGAGTTTTCCTGGCAAAATTCTATCCGCCTGCGTCCCGCTTCATTTTGTTCTCCCAGACCATGCTTGCCTGTGATCCCTGTTGACACCTTAGTATTACATATAGCATTCTCAAGACTCTGTGTACTCTACAGAGCATGAAGAATTGGTTGCAAAAAACAAAACAAAACATTAGTGATCTACATTACAATGCTGGTTAGAACCTGGAAGTTACTTACTCTAAATAATGAGTTATATAGAATTCATTCCTTTTGTCAAAATTAAGAAGCAATTATATTAACAATATGTTAGTAACTAAGTGGGGGTTAGTGTCACTCTATTTGCAGTGTAACTTTATTGATTGATTGATTTAAAACATTTATATTCCGCCCTTCTCACCTCGAAGGGGACTCAGGGTGGAGCACAACATGTATACAGCAAACATTCAATGCTGGTGCAAGAACAAACTATAAACACACACGAACACTAAAATCAGTTATCTTTAACTAATTTACTTTCATAGCTATGGAGTGTGGCTTCACCAAAGAATTAAAAAGTTTGAATGAAAAATATCACATGGTTCAAGTGTTGGCTTGTACTGTTGTGTTCAGATTTTTAAAGGGCCACTAAAAGTAATTAGCTACTGTCAACTCAAAGCTATTTGATAATGCAATAATAACTAAATAGAGCAAAAGATTTGAAACTATGACTACAGTATAACCTTTTGTAGCCTTGGTTTTATAATATTTTAAATCAAGAAATTGCAAATGCATTTCATGAAACATAATTTTGTACTGACTTTTTCTAAGCATGAGAAAATGTATACTCTTGCTAATGTCATATGTTTTTTTAGGCTACAATAAGAGCAAGCAACATAGATGCTTTCTTAGAATCTTGTACATGTGTGTGTACTCTGACATTTGTACACCCTGTCACTTGTACTTTTTCGATGCTGGTCATTGACCGTAATAAATCTTGTTGTTGTTTCTTAGAATCAGTTAAGGTGTTTTTTAAATACCTTAAACTGTACCCATGGTTCACTTCTGATACGATAAAGTGAAATTGACGAACCTCTGTTCTCATGAAGAACTTCAGATCTGTTTTGGGGGATAATTATTTTTCCAGTAATGCATTAAATGCATTATGATGCATTTAAAAGTATCATAAATCGGAGACAGAAGTAAGACAGGTTGGAAACAAAACAAACACAATAGGGTCATGATGTTAACATTGGTATGGGATCTCTTTCTTACAACCTGATTGCAGTCTTCTGACTGCTGATGCAAGCTGTATGCAAAAGTAGGATATAGAATTAGCTAGTAGGATTCAGCTACAATAAAGTTCCAGAATTCTTCCTCTAGTCTGTTTTAAAGTTCAAGTGTAAGAACTGAAGGCAAACACATATATAACAGATGGATATATGTACCTATTTGCAAAAATGAGCTAAAGAATCTTATCTGGACTAAAATGCAAACGTACCTCGAGGGAATCTGTGGTATGATTTGTGGGCAGGCCATTTTTGCCATAGCCTTGACCATGGGCAGTCAGAAGTCGTCCACATAAGTCAACCGCTGCTCTCCAGTTTTTGCTGCTCTGGAAGAATAGAGGGGGCGGAAAATGAGAACAGGCTAAGTAACAAATACATTCAGCAGCTTAGAACCTGGAGCTGCTTATTTTGCTTGAAGCAGCTACAGCTAACCATTAGTAATAATGACAAGGTCAGTAAAGCCGGCCAGTAGGAAGTGGAGTGTCATTTGTCAAAGCCGCTTGTATAATTAGGCAAAAAGCGAAGCCAGGGATGACTCACAATTTACAATTAGAAGATTGCTGGTGTAAAAGGATGCACAATTTATTATGATGGGCCAGAGATGGTTTGGTTCAAGAAATAGTAATCAGCTCTTAAACCCTTCTGAAATATAAAACAATTTTTGCTATTATGAAAAAAGGATACCTATTCTCAGCAAAGACCATTTCTATTTTATTCTTCCTGGGATCAAATTATGCCTCTATTAGTTTTGAATCAATGGATTCATGAAGGTCACCCAATAAGGAATACTTGAGAAATACAGCTGGGTTAAAAAGAACATTTTCGTGACTTTAAAACTTGGGATTTTTAAACATTTCCCCATTCATACAGCTCTAGTATAAAAGGAAACTGAGAAATAATCCCATTCAAGCATCCCTTCTCACCCCAAAAAAGGGATCACATATGCATGCACTCCATTTTCTGGACACTAACATCACAGTGATGAGAAGTACAGGATTTTGAAACATGTAGAATTCAGTAGGAGACACATCATTTGGGAAAATGCTGCTATTTCCAAATAACAGAAAGGTTGAACAATTTGTATTCTATTTTGTCAAATTTATGTAAATTTAAGAGCCCCCAGGGGTGCAGTGGATTAAACCGCTGAGCTGCTGAACTTGCTGACCGAAAGGTTCATGGTTTGAATTTGGGGAGCGGGGTGAGCTCCCGATGTCAGCTCCAGCTTCTGCCAACCTAGCAGTTCGAAAACATGCAAATGTGAGTAGATCAATAGGTACTGCTCCAGCGGGAAGGTGATGGTGCTCCATGCAGTCATGCTGGCCACAAGACCTAGGAGGTGTCTATGGACAACAGCGGCTCTTCAGCTTAGAAATGGAGATGAGCACTACCTCCCAGAGTCAGACATGACTAGACTTAATATGAAGGGGAAATCTTTACCTTTTCATGTAAATTCACAAATATATAAAATACTAGAGGAATTTCCTTGGAAAAATGCATCATGAGACAGGTAACTTTTTGTCAAAATTAAGAAAGTGGTATAGTGGACTATGACTTTGGAGGCCAGGGTTCATACTCCCACTTAGACATGGAAATCCATACAGTGACCTTGGGCAAGTACTCTCTTTCAGGCTCCAATGTAGGTTGGTGTACATTAGGATCAGCCCATGGCGGCTACATGACGAATTCGGGCCTTCTCCCAATTTTGGGCCAGTGGGGACAGAACTGCCGCTGAGGTCTTTTACTCACGTTGCTGAAATAAGTCAAAGCCAACTTAACTGCAATTAAGAATGTCAACATGCCAAAACCAATATACGTGTTGGACAGTGATGGAGGAAAGTTTGGCCCAATGCCAACTGTCATGGTTTAAAGAGTTCGACATGATCCTCTAAACTAGACCAGTCTCTTTCAGCACTTAACAATGTCCTTTAAATTGTGAACTAGAGAACTGGAATGTCCTATGACTTATTGTGCCTAGGGATATTAAAGATTTTTTGTTTTAGGAGCATATATGGCAATTCTGGAAAGACATTTAACAGTATAATGTATTGATGATAACTTCTGATATAAAAGAAATAATAAAGCAAGAACCCTGGTGAGGGGGAAAGGAGGGATGTGAAGAATGAGTATTCTTACATAAGGGAGCACATCTAGTTTTATACAAGTGTGATATTCCAGAATAAAATATAGTTCTTTCTAAAAACATACAACTGGCAATCCTATTGTAACCAAAACTGCACATCATATATTTCATTCTGGACTCATCTTTGAAAAGGGAAACTTTAAATGCTTATGGATGAAATACCAGTTCTGCTGAGTTCGCTGGCTGGATGCATCCTACTAGAGTAGTAGAAGAAAATCATGCTACTCATTTGTTAAGAAGGTAGTGTCATGACATTTATTAAAGGTTATGGAAGTACCACTACACTGTCTCTAATGAAATTTCTAGAAAAAAGCCACTCATAGAACAGCAGCTCGGGGAAAAGTCTTGGGAGAAATGTGGGAAGGGAGAGAATAATCACTCTCATTCATTTAGTCAGGAAAGAAAATTCACAATGTTTGATTCTGTCGAGTTGTGAAGAAAGAGAAACTGAGGTTTGTTTTAAAACAGTTTTTGATACAGATGGTGAGCTGAAATCTTTACATTACTGATAGCAGTATTTAGAACTGCCATAAGACCCAGCTTTGAGAGAAAGGCAAGATATAAATAAAATACATACATATATATGTAACACAGACAGAACTATTTAACAACATATGCAATAGTTGATGATGGTTCCATGCTATCAGTAAACGGATGGCAACTAATCTAGATGTGGCATTGTCTTTCAATCAAAAAGTGAATAACCTTAACCCCAATCCTTTTCATAAGACACCTTTTGAATGCTCCTTACAAGAACCCTACAAGACAGGTCAGGATTTCTGTTCACAGATTGCAGATGGCAAGCTGAAGGTGGCAGAATAATGGCCTGCCCCATGTTACCTAGTGGCTCCATGACAGGGATGAGATTGGAATAGGTATAAACTTCCTGGTTTATAGCCCTTAGCCACTAAGCTGCACTAAGAGACAGCCTATCACCCCACCTTCATCTCCCCTTACTCAGGTAGAGACACAAACCATCCTGCATTTTAATGGGATCACAGCCAGAGGACACAGAACTGCAGGAATGGACACCATCTGTTCTTTGATATATGACAGATGTACATATGCAATGAAGGTTAAACAGTTCAGGTAATAAAGCAGAGTAACAGACCAGCCACAGTAAATAAATGGATGTCTGATTTCAAATAAAAATTCAAAAATGTTATTACTGTTATTAAATTTCTGGTGACCATCTGCTTACTTATACCTCTGAAGTGAACTACTGAAGATTACTCAGCTTTTTGCCGAGAGGAACCAGACTTATTAAAACCTACCTTACTGACATAAAATTATTAACATCAATCCCCAAGTTCCTACCAACTTTGGCTACATGGCAGTCCTATAACTACTGTCCCTGAAAAAATGAAGCCACAGGACAACTTGATATGAAACAGAAGGATGCAGCATTTGTCCAAGACATGCTTACTTTTGGTTTGGCTTCGAAATACCTATAGACACAAATCAGGGTTCCAACAACAGGCTGGGCATAATAAATTGCAAGCAACATAGCTATATGGCTTGTTTCATGGGGAGAATCAAATAATAATAAGAAGAACTTTATTTTTCTACCCGCCTCCATCTCCCCGAAGGGACTCGGGTGGCTTACATGGGGCCCAGGCCGAATACAATTAAAATAAAGCAATAAGAATTAAAACGGCATAAAACAAACAGCGTAAAACAACATAACAAAAATAGCTAGCAACAACAATAACAGCAGACTAATTTTGGAGGGGGGGGGGGAGGAAAACCATTACGTGAACTAGTTAAAGAATAAAGTTTAGTAAGGTGGATAACAATGTATAACGGCATAGGAAATGTATAACCATGGAAACAGAGCAAATTAACAGGATCAGTTAATATAATATAGGACATCAGATTGAATGACAATTCAAGTCATGATACAAGCCATTTGTCATAGGAGTTGTCAATTGAAAGCACGACGAAACATCCACGTCTTTAATTACTTACGGAATGTGGCTAGGGAGGGTGCCAGCCTAATCTCTCTGGGGAGGGAGTTTCAGAGATGTGGGGCCACCACCGAGAATTCCCTCTCTCTCGTCCCCACCAACCGTGCCTGAGACGGGGGCGGGAGCGAGAGAAGAGCATCCCCGGAATATCTTAAGGACCAATAACAAAATTGCATTAAAAAACTAAGATAATTATGTACAGTGTAATTCCACAACTATTCTGAAAGGGCATTGGAGAGGCATTTTGACAAGACTTTTATGCCAGTTTCTTATTCATCCTAAGTTTTTTTTCTGACAAAAAGAATGGAAAGTACAGTCATAGTTTGTTGATTTGAATGATACGTGATTAAGTGATTTGAATGGTAAGCAGTGGTTAAAAGTAGAAGGAAAAGATATCAGGTAATCCAGAAGTGCAGGGATTAAGGGAAACAAATGAGCTTCAGCCGTCATATGGCTCATTCATATCGTACTAAACTATGGTGTAGCCTAATGTCTAATCACAACCAGAGATAAAATTCTAAATAGCCACAAGCTTTCTTACAGCACAGAATGAAGACTATTTCATAATCCATTTCACTTTTTGCCACAATGAATGGAAGCTGGACCAGTCAGCAACTTCTTTATGCCAAAAGTAAAAGTATAATGTAAACGAGGAGGACTTTTTTTTAAAAAATGAAGGAAACCTTAGTGGTAAAAAGTAGACATATACAAGATCGAGACCTTATCATATTTGACAACATGTTGTCAACATTAAGTGAGGAGACTAACTTACAGAATGTATATGATTTCTCTCCAAAAGAGAGTCATTAGCTCCACATACGATGGCATTAAAATGATTAATATGTCCTCCATTTGCTATGACAGTTTTCTCCCAAGTAAATCACTTTGGAAGAACACTTTGACATACTTGGAAAAACTTGTTCAGTAACTCCTTCTAAGGCTAAAGTTTGTTGAATTTGAAAGTTACTAGCAAATTTTTTTCCACTAACCCTCATACTATTAGACCCAACATTTTAGTTCCCCATAGTCACCATTTGTGATAGAAATCATTTTTAAAAACTCCTGAGGTGGCACTGTCCCTAAGTCTGTTTTTTATGTAAAAAAACCCCATAACAATGACACAAAACTGACCTTAATAACCTATTCTATTTTATCAATAGGGTACTGTTTATCTCACACAAGACAAAGCATTGACTTCAAAATGAAATGAAATGAAATAATAAAATGAAATAAAATTCCTACATTATTTAGTGGATGAGCATGAGTAAGCAAAGCTGATGAAAGGGTGGCAAATGCTCAGATGAAAGGATGGCAAATGCTCAGATGAAAGGGTGGCAAATGCTCAACTATGGTAATTCAGGTAGGAACAAGGTATTGTAAGATAAAGATGCAAGGCTCAGATCCAGGCATTAACATCCAAAGCAGCCAGAACCATCTTTAGGGCAAATCCAGGCCCAAGCTGGATGCAAACGAACAAACATGCCACTTACAGAGAAGTATTTATATAGAATAATCATTCAAACAGAGAGGCTCAACACATGATCATGGAATGAAAGGAAGGCAAAACAATAAAGCCTTTTGACATCACAAATGATTTGAAGGCATAATAATAATCCTGTATAATAATATGGAACTTTGGAGGAACTGTGACAATCAGTTTCAAGTCACTGTCATATCAGTGACCACAAAAGAGATTTTGTACACTCATAAAGCAGTTAAGATGCAACAACTGGGAAACAAAAGCAATACGTTGAATTACTGCAAAACCTGCTATCTTCAAAGCTAAGGGATTACATTTGCTGAGCAGTTCCGAACAGTGCACACAATAGGAATTGAACTATCCACTGATGGTTGAATTCAGAGGTTATGGCCAAACTGGAAAGATCAGCAAGGAAACAAGGTATAAATATTTGGTGGTGCTGAAATTCTAAGACATCCTGTGCTCTGGATAAGAAAACCACTAGATGATGCAGTCCATATAGGAAAACCACATGCATTCCAAAGGTGTTCAGAAATACCACAAAATTAGTGATTGCAAGTTTTATTAACCCGCATAGAGGGTTAATAACACACTAAAATAATGCAATTCAAATATTTTGGATTTTTGATATATTTTTTCTTTGAAAAAGCATCGATCATGGTCTAGCTTACAGGAACTACAAAACTTCTATGATAGTTCTTCATTAAGGAAGTCTAACATGAAAACTCTAAAAACAGCAGTGATTAGTCATTATAGATTTTATGTGTCAAATTCATATTATCAATGTATATTTTGTACTTTAAGGCAGTAATAGTGCACAGGTGGGTTTTTATTTATTTCAAGTGTAAATGAATGTATTACACACTAACAAATATAAAAAGACAGAGGCAACACTATTTCAAAATTACAGGCCCCTTCCACACAGCTGAATAGAATCTCACATCTTCTGATCTGAACTGGAATATATGGCAATGTGGATTCAGATAACCCAATTCAAAGCAGATATTGTGGAATTTTCTGCCTTGATATTTTGGGATATAGGGCTGTGTGGAAGGGCCCCGAGTCCACATTCCAGTTCAAAGCAGATAATGTTGAATTTTATTCAGCTGTGTGGAAGGGGCCACAGTCATACTATCAACATTTTACTCTTTGTTTATCATTAAGCCCTTGCAAATGCAAAGCCTTCACACTTTATGATGTTTTCATTGGACTAACAAAGGTATCACCCCAATAAGGATTTGGGGATTTAGAAGGAAACAATTCTAACCCCATGTATGTTTCAGATACCAACACTGTAAATTACTTGTACTGAAACTCCAAGCAAAAACCAATTCTTTGTTGCCGCAAGATTTATTTATTTGTTTTTTTAAAAAATCAATGTTTTAATTTAAGATGTTTGTGGTGCGCATCATTTTATTTCTGTTATTGTGAAACAGCTGGAAGGCAAAAAAAACCTTGGCTGATCTATAGCTACTCATGAAGAGATTTACCAGCAAGTCACCATTTACTTTCTGTCCATCCCTGTTCCGGATTATTAAAATGCAGGGCACTGAATCATCCACATTTGATGATGAGAATAATTTCAGCTCCTGGCTACCTACAAAAGAAGCCTTGTGCTCAGTATGCTTCAAGAGAGGAAACACCTTGCTACTTACTATCAGCTGCTTCAAGCCTACAAATGACTGCTCCGCAGAGTTGGCATTTAGAACTTGTCTTTTCCCTGCAGCCTGTTCACCGAGGAAGCGGAGCATTAAGTCCTTAACGGCATCGCCCTGAAAAGATGGAAAATACAATATATACACCCAATATTTGTAACAACCAAAGTGCTTTAAAAAAATATAAACTTCATACATTAATGAAAATACTAGGCCTGGGCGGTTTCGTTCGTTAATTTTGTAATTCGTTAAATATTCGTTATTTTTAACAATTTCAAAATGATTTCAAAACATATTTTCAAACCCGGAAGGGTTTTTCAATATCGAAACGGCATCCTCCATCCTTTTTACGAGCTTCCGCCCGTTTCGGAAATGACGTTTAAGGGATGGATGATGCTGGGTGCCCTGGGAGCCAATCCGGCGCTCCCAAGCACCGTGGCTGATTGTGATTGGGCGGGCTGCCCTTTAAAAGCGGCTCCGCGTGGCCGCATTGCTCATTGCGAAGGCGAGGGAGGAGACGGGAGGTTTGGGAGGGAGGCTTGGCTTGGCTTGGCTTGGATTCATTCATTGCTTGCATTCATTCATTTCTTGCTTTCATTCATTGCTTGCATTCATTCATTGCTTGCATTCATTCATTCACATTGATTCATTCATTGTTGTTGGGAGAGCGAGGGCGGTTGTGAGACCTGGGCTGGGAGCAGCGGGGAGGCTTTGCCCTGTTTTCGCCCTACAACAGGGCAGGGAAAGCTTTTTGTTAATTTTCCATTTTTAAATATTTCTGATAAATATTTTTCTTTAATTCTTCAAAAAATTCAAAAAATAATCTAAAAAAGAATCTTGTGTGCCTGTGTGTGCGTTTCTCCCTGTCCTGTGGCTGTGTTTGCTCCACAAGAGGACAAGTTTTTTGTTAATTTTCCATTTTTAAATATTTCTGATAAATATTTCTCTTTTATTCTTCAAAAAATTCAAAAAATAATCTAAAAAAAGAAAAGAATCTTGTGTGCCTGTGTGTGCGTTTCTCCCTGTCCTGTGGCTGTGTTTGCTCCACAACAGGGCAAGTTTTTTGTTAATTTTCCATTTTTAAATATTTCTGATAAATATTTCTTTTTTAACGAATCGATTCGTTATCACCTTAACGAATCGACCCCCGTCTTAATAACGAAGTTCCGGGGGTGATTTGCGCATGCGCGGGGGGGTCCGCCATCTTAACGAATCGATTCGTTAATATTAACGAAATTTCGTAAATACTGAACTTTTTTAAAGGAAAGTTTTGTAATTATTTTAAATATCGAAACGCAAAAACCCCCCAAATACAAATCGATTTTAGAAACAAATTTTTGCGTTGTTACCCAGGCCTAGAAAATACATACTCGAGAATCCTCCTACTTAACAAGGGCCTTGAATGTGGGAGTATCTGTACCATTTCCTATGTTAATAAAGGTAATTTTAAAAAATTGTCATTCTGAAAACAGCTTTTATTGTGTAAAATAGGGGATGCTTACCATCTCCTTCTTAAAAGAAAACCCATTTTTGTCACTTTGGTTTTAGTTTCTGAACAGGAAGACCAACTGATTTCTGTAAGTAATTTTTACTCTTATGATCTGGATAGGAGATGTGGTATCTGGAGAACTTAGGCCCATTACTTTCATTTTTATTGTTTTGCTATCTCATAACTATTGAGGAAAGGTTATGTGATCAGAATTATATCTTTTCTGAGCAATGCATATTCTTCACCCTTCAAAGGAGATGGTACAAAGAAACCTGATTCCGCCCCCCTCAAATCTAAATATTAACCCTGTTGACTTTTGCAACTTTTGATTTGTCAAGTTAGCATGTCTGCACTATTCTGTCACTACATGAAGGTCTCTATCCCCCTCTTACTTCATCACAAGTGAAGGAGAGGAACTGGGTTCAATTTTGTTAATTCCCACTCCCACGCAAAACAGTGTGAAGCTACCCAGTCTGGTGTGTGTGTACTTCTACTATCTCATCCTAGATCAGTGGTTCCCAACCTTTGGGCCTCCAGGTGTTTTGGACTTCAGCTCCCACAGTACCTAATAGCTGGTAAAGTGGCTGGGATTTCTGGGAGTTGAAGTCCAAAATACCTGGAGGCCCAAAGGTTGGGAACACTGTCCTAACCCTCTTCCACACAGCTGGATAAAATCCTACATTATCTGCTTTGAACTGGAATATATGGCAGTGTGGACTCAGATAACCCAATACAAATTGTGGGGTTTTCTGTCTTGATATTCTGGGTTATATGGCTGTGTGGAAGGGCCCCTAGATGATGCTGAAAAATACTTTCTCCTCCCTATGGGATCCCATGGAGTTAGCTTTGGTCTCTCAGTCTATTATGATCTGCATGAAACTGTTGGGTGGGGCCACTGAATGTTAAGGATGCACTGCTACCAGTATGTAGAGGACTCTTTCCTCCTATTTCATTTGCTTGAGATGTGGAGAGAACTTCAAACAACTATCTAGATTAGTAACAAATTGTCTCAAGGTGTTAATAGTCTTAACTCAAACAAAACAAGAAATGATTATGCTAGGGGCCATCTAGAGAGGAAAGGAAATGTCTGCTTTACATTTGGTCATACATATCACCTGAAGAGTGGGTTCATAGTTGGGGGCATTTCTGAAATGCCTTTGAATGTATCAGCTGTAGTATTACAGGTATTGAAAAGCAACAGGAGAGCCTTACCTGAATGTTGTCAAATTTTAATCCCGGCATTGTGAGATTCTCTTTGTCTATGAAAACATTACTATACTGCTGCGTGGCTACAGAAATCAACACATTTCTAGTTATGTCACTGGGAAGCCAAGCATCATGTCTTCTGTCCACTTCACTCATATTCAGCACAGATGCAAAAGGATCATCACTGCCTTGAAAAACGGCTTGTATCTGGGAAAATGGCTTTGGAGACTGTGATATTTCTGGAGAAGATGCAGATCTTCCAGCTTCAGATCTTCCACTTTTAGCAGAGCATTTAAGGTCAGCAGAGTCATGGGAATCTACAGTTGTTGCAAGAGAAGACATTTGTTCTGGTACAGATGAGCTTGCATTAGGGTTACTGACGGAAATGAAAGAGGATGTGGTAAATGAATCAAAGAAATCAGAAGCTAGTGTATTGGTATTAATGGCTTCACCAAAAAACTTGCTTAGACTTGGACTAGGCTGAACCACCTGGGGATGAGTTTTCACCGGAGTCTCGCTTATACCACCAAAGCTAGGTGACTTCACCATTTGAGGCTCAAAGCCATCATGCAAGAATTGTTGCTGGCCGTTCATATGATTCCCTTGGCTGAAGATAGTACACACAGGAATAGGCTCAGTGCCGACAGGTGATGTGCTGGCAAGTGGCGAGGATGTTGTCTCCTCAGTTTTGCCTTCACTGTTGGCAACAGAATTAGGACCTTCACCTTTCACTTCCAATTCATCTTGTGCAGGTTCCTGAATCAAGTCTTCTTTTAAAGTGAATTGATTATCACTTCCACTATTAGAAATAGCTTTAGGAGTGCCTTCGGGTTCAGTGTCATCCTCATCACCAACAGCCTTGTTTCTTGTCTCTCCTTCTGTTACGAGAACATCCTTTTCTTCCAGTTGCTTTACAATTTCTTGCAGACAACCAAGATCACCGGTATCATCTTCACTATTATTTGGGGAATCTGATATAATGACACTTTCCATCATCTGTTCATTCAGTTTATCTAAGAAGGGACTAGAATCCTCCACAGCAGTCTCATTTTCCTCAGACCCAAACTCATCTCCTCCAAGATCAATGTTTTCTTCCTGAAAAAGAAGTTCTTCATCCGCTTGCTGCTGGACGCTGCATTCACCTTCTGCTGCATCTCCAATACTGCTTTCTTTGTTTTCCATAGCTGCTGTAAGTGAAAATACAAGTGAACATGATTACTCTCATTGGTAATGAAATCATTGGCCATTTATGCATAAAGCAGCAACACTGAAGTCTATCCAGCATTTCAATAAACATCAAGTGTTACAAAACAATAAAGCCCTCCTCACTAACCTTGTGCAAGACAACCATGACAAGTGACATAAAAGCACTGAAAACCACCAAAGACACCTACTGAAGACCTTAATACTGTATTTTCACCTGAGCCTAAAAATGGGCTGAAAAACTTGGATTATACTAAAGCATATACCGTACTTCATTAACTGGAGTATACTTATAGAAGGACCAAATAGGGACATTAGACAAGGGTTTCTCAACCAGGGTTCCTTAAATCCCCATGGTTCTGCAAGAGCTTAGTAGGGATTATGTAAAAGATTATAACTGGAAAAAAATCAATATACTTTTTAAGAAGAAGATATAACTTTATACATGGAGTCCCTGAGATCTGAACACTTGTTCAAAGGTTCCTCCAGCGTAAAATGATTTAACAAGGCTGCATTATACATGAATTCACCTATTTATGGGAAATGTTCTGGTGTCAAGCACCTCAACACTGCTCTGTACAGTAAACTTTTTTCATTCTGGCTTGCTCATTTGCAATGGCATAGAAGTTGATCTAGATACAATAGGCTACAATTCCCTACATCAGAGTTGACTTGTCCACTTGTAAGAGTAGCCAATGCTTGCTCTTTTAGACCCCAACAGGAGAGTTGGCCCTTGTGTTGCTGAGAGAGAGGGGCAAGGCTTTGGGGGAGCCTGGTTGCACAGAGAAGAACAAACTATGGAGAAGGAAGAATGCAGGTCAGGGAAAAGATGGAGGAGTAAATGGGAAGGAGGATAATAGCAGGAGGAGATGAGAAAGAACTTGCAGATGGTGAACAAGGTGGGTAAATAGTATATTGAACAGCTAGAACAAGTAAATCCTGACTGGGCTGCTGTTTCTCTGCTTTAGACAGTGTGACAAGAGTGATTTTTGCCTCCTTGAGAGTGGATGGGATGCTTGATTAAAATTGCAGATCGATTGTTCTCAAGACATGAACATCGGTGGAATAAGCACTAAACAACTATCATTGCTGAAAAATAAATGTATACCAGAGTAACAAGTAGGGATGTGTGAAATGGCACAGAATCTGTTCTATTTTTGTTCTGTTTTGTCTGTGTCTACCCCCCCCCCCTTCTGTTTTTGGGAAGATTCTTCCTGAAATGGAAATAAAACTCAGGTTTCCGAATTACGAATCCAAACACCTCCCCCTCCACCCCCATCTCCTGGAACCTTTATGAAAACAGAATGAGGGTTACCTAAAATTCGAAATGGAAACAGAAGAGATTCACACACCCCTAGTAAGTAACAAGGTAAGAAGAGGCTAAGTGGCAAGAGGGTAGAACTGGTATTAGTACCTCTAAAGCTAGCCATTTAAAAAACCTGCAAATTTTGTTGACTACTTCTAGATGCTGCTCAGTGGTTCTCAACCTGTAGGTCCCCAGATGTTTTGGCCTTCCATTCTCAAAAATCCTAACAACTGGTAAATTTGGCTGAGATTTCTGGGAGCTGTAGGCCAAAACATTTGAGGACTCACAGGTTGAGAACCACTGAAGTAGCTCTTTTCATTTTGAGTACACACATATAGTTCTTGGGTACTACAAGGCAGTTCTGTTGTCATTCACCATGCCGTAGAAGGTCATGCAGTGGGCAAAGAGACATACCTAGCTTTGGAGGACCAGCTCCTCCGAACACCAGCTGCACTGTACGTTTTCTTCCTATGCCACTCATCTCACCAGTGCTTAAAAGGACAACTCCCCCAGATATGGGCTATATCCCTCACTTGGAGATGCCCTGATATCTTCAATTGCTGCTCAAAGTAACAAGGAGTGGGATTTCTCTTTCAGCACTAGAAAAAATTGCTCTCACATGAAGAGATTTGGTCCCGGGAGGGACACTCCATGGGATGGAGTTGGCATTTGTGCACTCTATTCACTGTCTTAAATCACAACTTCATCTTGTGATTGCTTGCTCTGGCTGGAGATTACTTTGAAGTTTATAATCACTTATATCATTTCATATCATATTCAAGTGACTGCTTGAAATTTCTTTTGGATTGAGTTACTGCGCTGCTACCAATCAGAGCTTTGATGATATAGTGGGTACTGTCTAAATTATCTGGCAAAGAATCGTGGCAAAACACTGGTGCTGGTAGACTTCAAAAGAGAGACAGAGGGATTACTAGGTCAAAACACTGCAATAAATGCAGTGATTTTGATGAGACGTGTCTTATTTACTTTTGCAGTTAGTTACTTCAAAGCAAGGATATGCCTTTATACTGAATTGCAGAAATATCCAATATTTGTTCTTCTACACCAGTGGCTCCCAACTTTTGGTCCTCCAGGCGTTTTGGGCTTCAGCTCCCAGAATTTCTAACAGCTGGTAAGCTGGCTGGGATTCCTGGATGTTGAAGTCTAAAACACTTGGAGGACACTAAAGTATTCTTTACAGGAATATGGGGAATCCAGCATGCCAAAAATATGATAATGGTGCACGAAATGATAGAAGACAAAGAAATGTAAAAGAAAATATGTAGTGAAGGGGATTCCATTTCAAATTGAGCATTGCCATGGAGAGCATAGAAAGCATGCTATAAATTTTTAGCTGAAAGCAACTTGAACTGAGCCATCCCAAAAATGCAGTTTTCAGGTACTGAAAAATAATTTCCCAAATTCAGCTCTGTCAGGTTTGGCTTCACTATGTACGTTGTTGTTGTTCATTCGTTCAGTCGTCTCCGACTCTTCGTGACCTCATGGACCAGCCCACGCCAGAGCTCCCTGTCGGCCGTTACCACCCCCAGCTCCTTCAAGGTCAGTCCAGTCACTTCAAGGATGCCATCCATCCATCTTGCCCTTGGTTGGCCCCTCTTCCTTTTGCCTTCCACTTTCCCCAGCATAATTGTCTTCTCTAGGCTTTGCTGTCTCCTCATGATGTGGCCAAAGTACTTCAACTTTGTCTCTAGTATCTTTCCCTCCAATGAGCAGTCGGGCTTTATTTCCTGGAGGATGGACTGGTTGGATCTTCTCGCAGTCCAAGGCACTCTCAGCACTTTCCTCCAACACCACAGTTCAAAAGCATCGATCTTCCTTCGCTCAGCCTTCCCTAAGGTCCAGCTCTCACATCCGTAGGTGACTACAGGGAATACCATGGCTTTGACTAGGCGGATCTTTGTTGTCAGTCTGATGTCTCTACTCTTCCCTATTTTATCGAGACTGGACATTGCTCTCCTCCCAAGAAGTAAGCGTCTTCTGATTTCCTGGCTACAGTCTGCATCTGCCGTAATCTTTGCCCCTAGAAATACAAAGTCTGTCACGGCCTCCACGGTTTCTCCTTCTATTTTCCAGTTCTGGGGGTCACTATGTACAACACCTGTCTTTTTGGAAGAGAAAGCAGGGGTGGGTTTCTGGATGCTTAAAATAGAAAAATATGTGACAAATTATTTTCTTTAATATGTTTGCAAAGATTATTATCATTTTAATAAAACAAACATCTTTGTATAATAAAATTCAGGAAGTGTATGTTATATGTATTTTCCCACAGTTTGAAGTAAAGGATCAATATATACATGCCAATAATATTTTTTTAAAACCCTCTGAAATCAGGACAGTAAATAAAGCGGAACACTAAAAACAGGGGAATTCCTGACATGAAACAATCAGGGGCAGTTAACACCTCCCAACAAAGGATTCCCTCAGGCTTTGAAGCTGCAAGACCATTCAATGCTAATCAAGGTGGCCAATTTATTTATTTGTTTACGATATTTCTATCCCACCTTTTTCAAACCCGAAGGTGACTCAAGGTAGCTTTACAACATAGGCAACTATTTGATGACATTAAAATAATTTAAAAATTACAATCAACATTTAAAACAGAATTACAACATACATACATTAAAACCTTTAAAAACATATTCCAACACTCACACTTGCCTCAAACAGATAAGAGTTCTTTCTCCCACCCTGGACATTATTCCACAGATATATAAACCCCAGTTGTCTACATTCCAACAGAATTCACAACTTCTGAGAATTCCTGCCATAGATGTGGGTGAAACATCAGGAGAGAATGCTTCTGGAACATGGCCATATAGCCTGGAAAACTCACAGCAGCCCAGTGATTCTGGCCATGAAAGCCTTCGACAATACATGCCAATAATAATTAATAGCAATGAATTGTTGCTCTTAATGTTGACTTGTGAATGAGACTTTCAAGTAATCCTATCGCCAACACCTTTCTTGAAGTCTTGCAGACCCAGGGTGCATCTACACTGCAGAATCCATGAAGTCTGATACCCCTTTAACTGACATGGTTCAATGCTATGGATCCTTGGATTTGTAGTTTGGTGCGGCACAAACAGTCTTTCTCAGAGAAGGCTGAAGACATTGTAAAACCATAACTCCCAGGATTCTGTAGCATTCAGTCATGGCAATTAAAGTGGGATCAAAATGCTTCATTCCTGTGGTTCTCAACCTGTGGGTCCCAGATGTTTTGGCCTTCAACTCCCAGAAATCCTAAAAGCTGGTAAACTGGCTGGGATTTCTGAGAGTTGTAGGCCAAAACACCTGGGGACCCACAGGCTGAGAACCACAGCATAAATGTAGATGCACCCTTATGATTGAGTGTATCCCTCTGCAGTGTAGTCTTTACCTTTTCCTGCTGCCTTTCCCCTTAACAAACAGTATTGCCTTTTCTAGTGAGCCATTTCTTTTCAGGATATGGCCAAAGTACGACAGTCTCAGGCCAGATCAACACTGCCATATCATCCTTTTTTTTGGAATCCAGATTATCTGGATTATATGGCAGTTCTACACTACCATATAATCCAACTCAAAGCAGATAATTTGGATTCAGAAATTTATTTATTTATTCACAACATTTATATGCTGCCCTTCTCATCCTGAAGGGGACTCAGAGAGGCTTACAAATAATATGTAAATACAATCTATATAAATAAAAATGTAATGTTTGTTTGTGGGATTAACATAATTTAAAAACCACTGGACGAATTGACACCAAATTTGGACACAATGCACCTGTCAGGCCAACGAGTGACCATCACTCATAAAAACACTGAAAAACACAGCCGAAAAGACTTTAGAAGCCAAAAAAGCAAAAAGACACTACAGCACAAAAACGACTTCCCCTGGCGAACAAAACACACAATAGCATATCCACACTCTCCTCCAGACTACAGCTCCCACCATTCCCTAGACCAGACCCTTTAGGAGAAGGGGATGATTCAAATGCACTGCTTCCAAGCTGCAAGATTCCTTCTCCTTGGACTTCTTTGAGAATATCCCAATCCCTGCATATTTCCAATTTCCTATTCCTGGACTGCAGCTCCCAGCAATCCTCCAGATAGATAGATTAGATAGAGATATGTAGGTAGGTAGATAGATGGATGGATCAGGAAGACTGTTGGGAGTTGCAGTCCAAGAATAGGTAGAGAAGGTAGAGAGGAAAGAAAGGTGAAGGGAAAGAAAAAAGGGGGTGGGTGGAAGGGAAGAAGAAGAGAAGGAAGGAAGGAGAGAAAGAACGAAGAGAAAGAGGGAGGAAAAGTTGGCCACAGCAACGCATGGCGGGTACAGCTAGAAGAAGAAGAGGAAGAAGAAGAACTTTATTTTTCTACCCCACCTCCATCTCCTCGAAGGGACTTGGGGTGGCTTACATGGAACCCAAGCCCAGGCAGAATACAGTTAAAATAAAGCAATAACAATTAAAGCAATATAAACAGCATAAAACAACATAATAAAAATAGCTAGCAATAACAATACCAGCAGACTAATTTTGGAGCGGGGGGGGGGGGGAGGAAGAAAACCACTATGTGAACTGGTTAAAGGATAAGGTGGTTTAGTAAGATGGATAACAATGTATAACTGCATAGGAAATATCATGGGAACAGAGCAAATTAACAGGATCAGTTAATATAATATAGGATATCAGATTGAATGACCATTCAAGTCATGATACAGTCCATTTGTCAAAGGAGTTGTTAATTAAAATATATTATATTATTAGCATAGTACAATATCAGTATTATATATTACTATATTGCACTATACTATTATATTGTAATATTATTAGTAATATTACATATAAGATAAAATACATAATTATAATATCATATTATTATTATTATTATATTGTATTACATTATAATATTATCAATATTATATGTTTATACAATATATTATAGAAACGGGATTATATGGCAACGCAGTGAGACAAATCTCCCCCTTGGAAGGGAAATTCACTCCTGAAAGAGTTTATCACGGGGGGAAAGTGTCTCCACTGCAGCTTTAGCACCAATCCTTGTTTCCACGACAAGCCGCATTTTTCAATATCCAATAATCACAGGGACAGAAAGAATCAGTTGAAATCCTCTGAACAGGGGCTGAGACAGCAACACAAACCCCACAGGAGTGTTCACCCTTCCCGGCGCCAGCCAAAGCGAAGAAATACACGTGCCTGGCCCCTTCTTGGCCTCACTTACTTCCACTGACAGCAACACCGGCAAGGCCTCCGAGGCGAAATAGGGAAACCCACCGAGTGCGCATGCGCACCCGCTTTCACGGTCCCACTGCAGCCTCCGTCTCTTCTGCCGCTGCGTGAACGGAGCGTCTCTTTCCATCCCGGAAGTAGAGAGGAAGACGGAAGCCGGCGAGGGACGTGCAAGCACTTGTTGTGAGCTTCGCCTTTTCCCTATGGGGCTTTGAATGGGGATTGCTTCCCGGAAGCCATGGAGGATGATGCTCCCGTGATTTATGGGCTCGAGTTCCAGGTAATGGGGAAGATGGGGCTTCAATGAGGGTTTTTTTTTGTCGTGTCATGATCAGCATGGTAATTGGAAAGGAAGGGGAATGCTGTGAACAGCAGCAACACATGTTTCCTATAATCTAGGACCCCTTCCACACAACTGTATACAATCCCACAATATCTGCTTTGAACTGGGTTATATGGCAGTGGACTCTGGGCCTTTACACCCAGCCATATCACCCAGAATATCAAGGCAGAAAATCCCACAAAATCAGCTTTGAACTGGGTTATATAGCAGTAGACTCTGGGCCCTTCCACCCAGCCATATAACCTAGAATATCAAGGCAGAAAATCCCACAAAATCAGCTTTGAACTGGGTTATATGGCAGTGGACTCTGGGCCATTCCACCCAGCCATATCACCCAGAATATCAAGGCAAAAAACCCCACAATATCTGCTTTGAACAGGGTTATATCACAATGTGGACTTGGGCCCTTCCACCCAGCCATATAACCCAGAATATCAAGGCAGAAAATCCCACAATATCTACTTTGAACTGGGTTATCTGAGTCCACACTGACATATATTCCAGTTCAAAGCAGAAAATGTGGGATTTTATTCAGTTGTGTGGAAGGGGCTTCAGATAACCCAGTTCAAAGCAGATATTGTGGGACTTTCTGCCTTGATATTCTAGTTATATGGCAGTGGGGAAGGGCTGAACCTCACACCAAATCCATCTGTAAATGCAAACTGTACAATTTTATAAATACAAGTTGAGTATGACTTACCTGAAATTGTATCGGATTTCAAATTTTTCAATGTATTTTGGAATCTCTGTATTTGCATCATGAGATACCTTGTGGTGCATTTACACTGCAGGGTTAATGCAGTTTGACACCATTTTAACCGCCATGGCTCAGTGCTATGGAATCAGGGGATGTGTAAAAGATTATGTCTCTCAAATAAGCCCAATGGATTTTTTTGGCCTGGATATATTGATATGGCCTTCTTCTGGGGCTCTTAAAAAGAAAGTATTATTATTATTATGTGTATTTATATTCCACCTTTGCTCTACACAAAGGAGTTTTTGGGAAAGAATGACCTTTGGGATCATAACCTTTTGGAAAACCAGAAGCTCCAAAGCCTTTTGGAAGTGCAACCTTTTGGAGATTATTTATTTACAATTTATTTACGACACTTGGCATTCACACCATTTGTAAAGATTATAACCTTTTTGTAAAGTATGATAATTCTGAGAAGAGCTAAAAACTCATTTGAGTGAATCTTCTCTTTAGTGGTATATATCCACTAGTATTCATGCAAAACGAATTAGGTATACCAATACACATATATACAATATAGTAAGCAATCTGAATTGTATGAATAGCAAATAACTAGTATAGAAGGCTTGTAGAAGGTTGCTATTTCCAATAGGAGACTTGATGTGTGTGTAATAATAATTGCAGGCAAAGCATAAACTGAAAAATTATGGAATCACACACACATCTTATCTCTTATTGCTTATCAAATACATTAGCTAAGAAGCATCATATTTAAAAAGAGAAGTCATATGCATATAAAACAATATTTTATTTTCTCAATTGATACAGTATTTCCTTGATTTTGAGATATGCTTTTTTCCATATAAATATGGGCTGTGGCTTAGGATTGCAGGTGCTTTTTGTATGTATAAATAAATCTTTTTTTTCTCTGTTCGTGGTACTTAAATTAGTGCCTATTTTACAATCGATGGCATCTTAGAATAGAAGGAAGTATGGTAATAAACATTTTAAAAATCCTTGAAAAGAATTCTCAATTACATATTTCAAACAAATGTGAACTTTTTGAAGCTCTTTCTCTGACATCAAAAGGTGCACTTCATACCTACATACATACTGTTCCATAAGGTAAGATGGATGCAGAACCCCAGCAAAAGTGAGAAAGCTGCCAAAAACACTTTTATTTTTACTTGAGAGAGCATCTCTCTAGGAATCTGTTAAGACTAGGGTGAATCCATGGTAAACATCTACCAGAGATTGCTATAGAGATGTTCTCTCTAGGAGTTTCTAGATCATATGTGTCAAACTCAAAGTCCATGGACAGAATCCAGCCCGCCATTTCATTTTATTCTGCTTGGCAGATGCTAGACTACAACTCCTGTATTTCCCGCCATTAGACAACATGACTAGAGCTGATGGGAGCTGTATATATTTTTGTTCATGGGTTTCACCGGGATTGTGGCGCAGCTGGCTGAGTGTCAGCTGCATTAAGATCACTCTGACCAAAAGGTCATGAGTTCGAAGCCAGCCCGGGCTGGAGGGGGTGTCCAGCCATTGTGTAGCCCGTTGTCGACCTTTGCAACCCGAAAGACAGTTGCATCTGTCAAGTAGGAAAATAAGGTACCACCTTGTGTGGGAGGCTAAATTTAACTAATTTATGAGGCCATAAAGAAAAAGACTCCGGGGAATGTGGAATGCGGAAGAACTTCATCGGTGTCGTTGATGGACGATGAAAAGCAGCAGCTCCCCTGGCGGCCAAAAAAAGTTAAATAGCCTCGGTGTATTTGTGTGTTAAATGTTGTTTGTCAAACTGGCATTGAATGTTTGCCATATATGTGTTTACTGTAATCCGCCCTGAGTCCCCTGCGGGGTGAGAAGGGCGGAATATAAGAACTGTAAATAAATAAATAAATAAATAAATAATTTCAACAATATGCTAAATTGTGTTTGGTCAAAACAGAGAGACTAAAGATTCTAAGGTACTGCTTGAGCCCAAGGTCTCATAGTTTTTAATCTTTGAAATGCCAGACCAAGGGCAAGTAGGATCAATAAAGTTGGATATTATGACATCCTGTTTTGCGCTAACAGTTGCATTGGTTCCTGGTCTATTTCCAGGACCAGTTCAAGGGTTGAATTTAACTTTCATAGCTTAGGATCAGTATATTTGAAGTACATTCACAGGTTTCTCTTTTGCAAATCTTCGGCTTAACAAGTTTGACCTCCTTGCCTCACTCCTTGAGCTTCTCCTTCTTCTGTCCTGCAATCGGCGCCATCCCCTCACTCCATTTACCGCCTTCCCACTATGAAGACTCAGCTAGATCTTAAACCCCTTTCTGGCCGATTCACTCCCTTGTCTCACTCCTTCTGCTACCAGATTTTAAAATCCTTTCCTTTCAATCCACCTGACCTTTCCTCGCTGTCCCATAGCACCAACCTTTTATTCTAGTTACAACCTTCCCATGATGAAGACTGCTGGAGTTTAAATCGCTTCCCACCAATCCACCATCTCACCCTATTCCTACTGCTAGCAGGAAATTCTTTCCTGCCAGCTCTCCTTTTGGCATCACTCCCTTTACTGCCCTTTGGTCAGACATGGAAGGACAGGCAGAAGGGCAGCAGAAGAAGTGAGGCAAGGAGATGTAATAGTGGAAGGGAGTTTAAATTCTAGCTGTGCTTTATGGTGGAAAAAATGCTAAATGGAATGAGGGCCTGAAGCTGTTGGCAGGACATGGAGGGGCAAAAGGAGTGCTGAGAAGATGGATCGGTGGGAAAGGGGCTTAAACCTGGCTGAGGGTTTATAGTGGAAAGATGGGGAAGGGAATGTGGGATGGGGGCTGTTGGTGAAAAAAGAATCTGTTGTGTGCATAATAGGGGGATTATGACATTCATGGTTTTCCCATTTTTGCAGGGATCCCGAACCCCTAACCTCTATGAACTGTATACTTGTCTTTCTTCTCTTTCCTTCTCTCACTTTCTCTCTTTTTTCTGTGAACACCTGTGCCTTCTGAAGCAATTGAGTTGATTCGACTCCCAGGGAATGTGCCTTCTTAGAGGTACTCCAATTATGGAAATGCTTTTCACTGAAAGGCTCTCTTGGTGATCATTTTAGTATCATTTAGACACCAGGCATTTCCTTTTCCTCTCAAGCATTTTTGTCTTTTCTCATAGTTACTGTCTTATGGTGCTCCGGTTTTACTGCCTTATTAATCTGTTGTTTTAGATGTATTTTCCTTAAATTCTGGGGTGTTTTTGTTGCTGGATTGTATTGTAAAATTTCCTGCCAATGTTATTAAAGGGCAATATATATAAAAAAATATTTACGCTGCATGAACTGTTGATCATGCCAAAATGTAAGAATTGTGTGCTTCATTTCCTGTCCATGCAGTCCTTAGCAGCCTTGCTTGAAAGGAAGCCCTACCAAAAACAATGAATAAATGGCATTAGGTTTGGGTTGTTAATCTAGATGCCAGGATTGTCTTCATGTCTATGCCTTTGGCTTGAAGGAGCACTCTGATTTAATGAAAAATAAGAAAGGCAAAAGTGCTGTCTAGAAATCATCTTTGTTTTATGCAGCCATATAACACCAAAGAACTGTAAATTATTGTGTTCTGCAATGAAGCCATTCTTAAAGAGGTGACCAAAATTTCTCACAATTCTTAATATATAGCCATCTCTCTTCATTTGCTGGAGTTAGGTGCTCAGAATCCCCACAAAAGTGGATAAACCACAATTTTAAAAACTTCTACTTCTTTTTGCTTGAACAATCACCTTTCTAGATCCTCAAGCACGGGAGTTCTCAAACTAAGGCCCAGGGGCCGAATACGGCCCTCCGAGGTCATTTACCCGGCCCTCACTCAGGGTCAACTTAAGTTTGAAATGACTTGAAAGCACACAACAACACCAATCCTATGTCAGCAGCCAAAAGCAGACCCACCCTTTCCATTGAAATACTATTAAGTTTAAATTTGTTAAATTGTTCTTAATTTTAATTATTGTATTATTTTTAAGTGTTTTTGCACTACAAATAAGATATGTGCAGTGTGCATAGGAAATCATTCATGTTTTTTTCAAATTATAATCCAGCCTTCCAACAGTTTGAGGGACTGTGACCTGGCCCTCTCGTGAAAAAGTTTGAGGACCCCTGCTCAAGCATAACTCTGGAAGTTCAACATATAATTACAAACGGATCTATAGATTCCTCTTGTACTGTCTCTAGGAACCTCTAGGTCTTCCAACTTGATTCTGTGGTCAACTTTCAACAGAGGTTGATCACAGAGTCATGCCGAAGGACCTATAGACTCCTAAAAAAAATATTTTAATCAAATCTGCAAATAATTCAATCCATAAAAGTCAAACCTGTAAATGTGAAGGACAGACTATATTCAACACATGTGTCTTAAAGAAGAGTTGGGTAAAATAGCTTGGCAGACTTCCAGCTTACCTGATTTGTCCCTTTTCTGGCTAGAAAATTATGAAGTAAATTAGAACTCAGTTTTGCAGAAAACAGTTTTAAACAAATATTTTGTAAGAGTTTTCTTATCTTCAGGAATATGTCGGTGTACACACTTCCCAGTGAATGGTTTATAACTGATCCAAACAAAGCACCTGAACTGTATCTTGGAAATGTTGGATAGCTTTGTTTGCACATTAGTTTATAATTGATGATTATAGCATTTATAAGACTCTCACAGTCTTATACAACTGTAGTTTTATTCTTGGATTCATTCATTCATGTCCACACACAGCTATGCCTCAATCTATAGTTAAGAGTTCTTTCTTTCTCCTCCACCAAAGAAAGGGGGAAAAGTAGATAACAGCGGTTGACCAAATGCTTTACAGTCAGATGGTTTTAGGTTCAGTCTCTGGCACTGCCACTTTCCAGAGTTAATCTCAGAAAAGCTCCTGTCTGAAATTCTGGAGAATAGCTGTCAGCATCTGATCGAATAATGAGTGACATGGGCTAGTGATCTGACTTTGGTATAAGGCAGCATCCTATAGCAAGTTAGTGTGTAGTAGTTTTGAGCAGTGTACTCTGACTCTGGAGAACAGGGTTCAAATTGCTGCTCAGTCATGGAAAAATCCCACTGGAGGGCTTTAGGGCAAGTCACATTCTAACAGACAGAAGAAGGTAAAAGCCAAATCTTGCTAAGAAAACTCTATGATATGTTGCTTATTATTTATTCATTCAATTTATACCCCACCTTTATACCGAAAATGAGATTAAAATACGAAATGCACAGAGTCAGTAATTTGACAAGAGAGTCATGTTGATTTGGTACATGTTCACTTTGCTCAGTTGTGCAGTTGCTGTTTATATTCAGTGCATTCTTCCCATTGATGAAATGTGTCGACACTTCATTTTGGAGAGTTCTCTTACACCTGAATCACTATACTGTACTTTTATTAGTGAGCCAGTCACTTTACCCAAAGTGAGGCATCACTAGATAAATTCACATAACAAAAAATTCACCCTTCAAAAAATCAAAATGTGTATGGATTCAGTGTCAAGAACCCTAAACTTATGAGAGATCTTGCACAATCTGAAATACTACAAAGTGTGACAGTACTTCTATCATCCTTCTTCCCCTCTCTATGTAGGCACGAGCTTTAACACCCCAGACCGCAGAAACAGATGCAATACGGTTTCTGGTTGGAACACAGTCTCTGAAATATGATAATCAGGTATGTTTGTATCAAAGCTATATGAAAATAGAATTGGCAATGTTTCTAAAGCATTCTGTAGCATAATGATTTTTCCTTGCCAACTTGAATTTTTAAATGTAGTGCCATCCGTGTGTGTGTGTATCTATCTTTGTGTAATGTATGCTATCAGGCATGAGCTTTGAATAGTGTTCAGTTCTTCCGAAGGAATTTTGTTGTATGGGTGAGGAAACATGCCGATATAAAATTCTATCCATGCCCATGGTAGATCATGCAATGAAGAAGTTTTAAGAAACTGAGTAATATGTGCATGGGATTGCTTGGACATGGGATTATGTACTTTTACCTCTGAAAATGGAGAATGGCAATGCTAAGATCTAGAGAATTAAGGAGTTGCAATGATCTCTTAATTTTAATGCATTTTCCATATTTGTATTTTTACTGTCTTCCTTTCCAGATATCCAAACCACACAGGTTTCTATCCATCAATTAGCTTTTCTTTTATCTTTTTCCTTGGGAAATACCTCTTGCAGTAAGACACAGGGATATGAGAGCCAGTGTGGTGTAGTTGTTTGTGTGTTGGACTAGGCTTGATTCCTGACTCTCCTATAGAAACTCATTGGTTGGCCTTGGGTGAGTCACATAATCTGGACCATAGAAAACTCATGAGAGGGGCGCTATAACTTGGAAATGGCTTGAAGGCCTACTAAATTGGGAAAGATAGCTATTACTTCAGAGGGTCAGAACCCAAAATGACCTTAACAGGCTAGTGAGCTTAGCCAAGCCTAACAAAATGAATTTGATCAGGGAGAAATGTACTGTATAGTACTACACTTAGACAGAAAAAAGTAAATGCACAGATACAAGATGGGTGATACCTGGGTTGAAAGTAGTCCATGTGAAAGGGATCTTGTGGTCTTAGTAGACTACAAACTGAACATGAATCAGTGGCATGCAATTTGGATCCATAGCTGTGTCTAGACACAAAAACAATGGATTCAAATTGCAGGAAGTGAAATTCCATCTAACCATTAAGAACTTTCTGATGGTAAGAACTATTCAACAGTGAATACGCTTCCTTGAAGTGTGGTGAGGCCTCCTTCTCTGGAGGCTTGTAAGCAGAGGCTAGATGGTCATCTGTCTGAGTGCTTTGATTGTGTTTTCCTGGTTGGCAGGGGAGTGGACTGGATGACCCTTGTAGTCTCTTCCAATTATTTGATTCTGTAAGAGATCACAGGTTTAGGGTGTGTGGTCCCTTTTCGAAGAATTCCACAGAGTCCAATAGGTTCATGTAAGACACCGTTTATTCTAGCTGATCAGCATGAGGCAAACAGACAGCACTTCTGTAAGTGCTTTCACAGACTGCTGCACCCTCCTCTGTTTTTGCAAACTTTTATATATCCTCAGGAATATTTTTGTCATGGAAAGTACTTTGACCTTTACTCTTCCTGTCCCATCAACCTCTTGATGGAAAGTACCTTCTTGCTCTTGCAGACTTTGCGCTTAACCAAAACCTAACTTCCTATGTAAGCTCAAACTTTGTATGACTTCTACATATCACCTCTTGTTTTTAAAACATTTTCTTCTGTGTTGCTCCTTTTCTACAGAGAAAGGGTACATTTCTCCTTTGTTGCTAATTTCATTCAAAGCCCCTTGCTTAGCTATTGCTAATTTCACTCATTTCTATAATTTCAAAATTTCTATAAAATCAAAACAAAAACTTTGGAAAATAATGTCTTTAACATATTACTCTTAAGTAATTACTCTAACACAGTATTTTTTTTAAAAAAATTCAGTCTTGATTATACAATGATGGAGAAATTGTGTTGCTTTTTCAATTGATTTATTGGTTTTTGAATGTATGATAATCTGAAATCATTGAAGGAAAGCACTGTATAATTCAATTTAGAGGGGAAAGCCAGAGACAAATATGATTAAAAAACATTATTTTCTGAAGTTACAGTTTTGGGTGAACTGGGTTGTATAGGGGTGTGATGTCATTGACTCTAGTGGTTGCTTTTAACTCCAGAGCTCTGAAGGAAAGCAATTCATTCATAAATGCAGCACCCAGGAAACCACACAATTAACACCTACAGCTCTAAAGGTGCATTATGCAACCTAAAAAAATGCAGAACAAAAAGACTAAGACTTAATCAATTTTTGGAATAATTGACAGACTGTAGTTAACCCTGATCTGTCAGATTAAGAAGGCAGTCTAATGATAGCAGCAAAACAGAATCTGTAGGAATCTGCAGGAATCAGACCTCCTGAAAGAAATGTCAAGTTAATTACAACAATGCTTGTTGTTGTTGTTGTTGTTGTTGTGGGTCTTCATGTTATTAGCTTGGCACTAAGGTGAACCCATCCTGAGGTTTTCTTGTTAAGATTTATTCAGAGGGTGGTTTGCCTTTGTTTTCCTCTGAAGCTGAGATAATGATTTGGCCAAAGTCACTCATGGTTTTCCATGCTTGAACAGGGGTTTTAATCCTGGCTTGTAGAGTTGTAGTCCTGCTCTCAAACTGCTACACTATGCTGTCTCTCCACAACACTGTAAAATTTTGAAATCAGAATGGATGGCATGGATTAAACCTTTTGAAACATCTTTCTCAGCTCTCTCAGAGACAATGTCTCTGACATTGCCTGTACAACACCTGGCAGAATGTAAAATAAACATATTGCTCTTACATTGTGTCTGTTTAAAGTTTCATTAATTGCTCTTGAACTGTTTTACAAAAGGTTACAAACAGTATTGTACAGGCCCTTCCCAAATTACAAACAAGATGGGTTCTGTAGGTTTGGTTTTAAGTTGAACTTGTATGCAAGTCAAAACAAGTAGATTTTTAAATGTAACTTCAGCCACACACACACACACACACACACACACGTATATATCTTAGCTTTGGATAGTATAGGGAAGGTTTAACTCCCGTTTGGTGTTTGTTTTGCTGTCTGCCCCTATTCAGAAGATTTTACCTCACTTTCTGTCCCAGTGATAATTGGATTTTGAAACATTTGGCTTGTTGTGGAAACAAGGTTTGGGGATAAAGCTTCAGTGGAGACACCTTTTATCCATGATAACTTTCAGGAGTTAATTTCTTCCGAGGGGGAGATTTCTCTCACTTCCTGTTGTCTCACTTAACTGCGAGTAGTTTGTAAGTCAGATGTTTGTAACTCAGGGACTGCCTGTATACACTGAATGAAAAAGTACTCCTATAACCTATAGGGTAGTATGTCCAAATTTATACAGTAGATTTGAATATTTTGTTCACTTTAGGAATTAGTGGGTCCTCCAAGGTGTCTCTATGGTCAACTTGTGCTGGAAATCGTCTCACAAAGTTCATTCAGTTACATATTATAACATAAAAACATAGAAGGTTGTGGGAAAACTGTACGTTGTAGAGCATACCGGAGGTCATTTTTCGATTCCTGTAAAAACAGTGTACATTCTTTTATGACATTTAATTTTTCAGGCCTTGACATTAGATATAATAAGCAGTAACTATAATAGAAACAGTAAATCTTTGCCATTTGGCTATATTTCCACAGATGAAATCAGCAATAGATAGATTCCATACATATGCTTGGTGACTGCATCCTCTATTTTTGCAACACCCACACAGTATAGATACAATTTTAAAAAGAAGTGATGCAGTATTTTGAGATTTATGAAACAGCTTATATGTCCAGTGTGGGAAGCCTTGGAGGCAGTTCCTGATGAATTTCTTTTAGTGAACTCACAGCACTTAAAAAATATGTAATTTAGAAAGGGACCAATTGAGGAAATAATGAGTCTTGAAAAACAACATAAAAGGTTTAGGAATATAAGAGCTGATTTATAAAAAGATGGGATTTAAAAATTTGTGACATATCACCATCATTGCTGTATATAAAGCCAAAATATTATGAATTTGGGAACAAATCAAATCATTAGCTTTTGCATTTTAAAACATTTACAACAGAATTGGGTGAATAAACATTATGAATAAATTGATAAAACAGAACCTCTCCCAGAAAATACTGAGAAGTATTTGGACAATGTACAACATTGAAAATTTTCAGAAGAGCACAAGGACATTCTAGATCAGGCATGGACAAACTCCCCCCCCCCCAGGTGTTTTGGACTTCAACGGAATTGTGGGAGTTGAAGTCCAAAACACCCAGAGGGCTGAAGTTTGCTCATGCATCTTCTAGATTCACTCATTACCGTTGAAGAAGTAATGGCTGCTATTAAAAACTTAGAAGAAACATGGCACCAGGGAATGGTGGACTTAAAAACAATTACATTAGAAATTTGCAGATCTCTTTGCACTTAAACCTCTAAAACTTTAGAATAACATGTTGTCTGAAAGACCAATATCTAACTCTAATAAAATGTCCAGAATATTTTCAGCTGCAAAACTAGGACCCTCAATTATATTCTTTTTGCCCATCAATCTTTGTTTGCCATTTCAATGATAGCACTACATGTATAGAATTATTTATACAGTTTTATTCTAGATAGTCGCCCTCGGGCTTGAGATACAGCGGTATACAAGAATAGTAAATAAATAAAATAAATAATAAATAGATAGACAAATTTTGAACATGGTTAGAGGTATGTTTAATATCTTCTACTATTGAAAAAAAAATCAATTGCCAGTATTGTTACTTGATGCACATAATGCGTTTGGTAAGCTTGAACAAAGTTTTGTATACAATAATTTAGATAAATTGGTTATGGATGGCATTTTCTTGGGAGTTACCAGTATTAAGTGTAATTCAATGGCAAGGATCCATATATATGTATTTGAAACAGAAGAATTCAACATTTCTAGGGATACTCTTTATCTCTCCATCTTTTTGCCGTTGCTTTGGTGCCATAAGCACAGAGATATCCAAGAAACCTGTAAAGAAAATGAAAATACAGCGGCAGTACACGTCAGCATTTATGTCGACACAATCGGCCATGGCATTCTATCTCAATACAGTTTTCCTTGAAGAAAAAAAAACTATGAAGAAGAATTGAAAAGAAAAGCAACAGA